TAGTGGGGGTGGCCCAGGTGGTGGCGGGAGGTGGTTTGAGGTGTTCGAGCGGTCAAGCGGGGGGTGTGTGCTCCGAGGCACTGGTGTTCGGTTCCGATCGAATGCGCCTCCTTTCAGAATACCATGTGGCGGCGGGGGACGATTGAAAGACGATCTCCTAACTTGTGGCTGCTGAGGTGGAGTAGGTGCTGCTGCCTTTCGGTATATGTCAACTGTCCGTTCGACAAGACGCTTGACCTGTTCGAACTGTAGTGGCCGTTCGATACAGAAACATGTTTCGCCCCTTATCCTCCTGTTGTCCTTCCGCTCCTTTTGGTAAGATGTATATCTGAAACCCGCCTCTCTGATTGCTTCCTTGCATACCCAACTCGCCATAATCTCAGTCCAGCTGCTACGCTCCAAATACGCCAGAGAGTATGCCTGGTCAGTGTTTGAGCTGACCATTTTAGCATCAACAAATCGCCAGTAGTATTTACGCGTACACAACTTCCACGGAATTTCTAGATCGGCTTCGCTGTCTTCCTCTTTGGCTTCTACCGCGGCGGCTGCCTCGACCGGCAAACTTCCCAAACTCGATCGGGGTGATGCAGTTGGGTACTGTTCATTGGTAGCTGGTGGCATACTTGTTCGTGACGTACGTGGTGTAGCGATGGGTGTTGGCGGCGTGGTGGGACCGTACTGCTTTTCCTGTGGCGGACTAGGCGTGCCATTGACCTCAGTAAATAGTGGCTGTATGCTTCCTGACCTGTGCGTTCGGCGAGCACCGTCGCCTGACAGCTTTGACGTGTGACTTTCCTCTTCGCTATCAGATTCCACAGTGGCTTGTTGAGTTTCCCATCTTTGCCTCTGCCTTTCGCGCTCTTCGTCTTGTAAGCGGCGTTCAAATAGAGGGAGGCTCGTCCATCGCTGCAACAAGTGTTCGACACGTGAAGCCGATGCAGTCAGAACTGCTGGTAATCCGTTCGCTTCAGTATATATTGATGTGTCGAGACTTGTCAAATCTTCATCCTGATACGAACGTAGGGTAGATGACCTAGGGGTTTCGCCCCGCCCAGTGATGACCAAACTCTGAGAACTGTCTCCTTCCATCAACAACAGGCGCGCATCAGATTGAGATAAATTTTCGTAGAGGTTCGAGGCTGATAAAATTGACAATTGTTGTTGAACAATCAACGTTTCCAGTTGGATCCTTTCACTATCAACAAGTTTGGCGGCTTGTTGTGGAGATACCGTAGGACGTACTCTATGGCGCTGTTAGCGTACTCCATGGAAGGAATCTGAGCCATGCGTAGCAGCCTGAATGAAGGCTAGATGCCTTATAGGGGACGGAACTAACTTTGACCACATTATAGTCTGCGCTGCGTAGAGCGTCTGTAGCAGGACAGAGAGCGTCATGCTCAGGGCCTCCAGGTGAGCAGTGATATAGTCCAAGCTAGCCTTGGTTGAAGGATCTAACTGAGACCGAATTTTTTGAGTAGAGCGGGAAATGTCTCTTTGATCGTGATGCTTCTCATCCTCGGTTGATGAAGTCGATTCAAAGCTGGTAAGTAATGTTTGGGCTTGATCGATGACGTCGTCCAGAGTATCGATAGCCTATGTCTACAATCAGCGAGGAACGACAGAGCTTTGTCAAGTAATGTAATGACATATGTTTCGGATCTCTTGCGTCTCAAGTGCCTCAATCGCACAAAACGAATTCGCAGCGACCTCAAAATCTTTATCTCATGAACTTCATTCACGACCCCCCATCGTTGTGTCGTTCATAAATCCACGGCGATCGTCTTTACGTACCTCAGGTGATGGTAGACGATCATCTTCTTTGATAATAGTCCCCAACTGCTTCAGTATTGCAGCAAATCCATTTATGCTATTCGCAACGCCAACTAAATCTTTCGCTGACCCAGGTGACTCAGCAGCAATACCGTAGAGTTTCAGCGCGAGAGCTGAGCTTCTCGAAACCACCGGTAGAATATCTGCTAACACCGCCATCTCTCTCTCCTTGAGAATTCGATTCCTAGATGGAAAAAAAGTGGCGAAATGAGCGGTGTGGAGAAATAGAGTCTTGGGGAAGAAGCACCCGAACCGAACAGAGTCGAAATCCTTCGATATGTGTTCCAAACTAACTAACCCTAGAGTTGTGTGAGGTCATAGTGTAGGAATTAATGCAGGGCTCTCATTGACCGACGACTAAATCGGGCGGAGATCACGGCTTGGTGATTGGCCAAGACCACGGCTGAAGGCAGGCAAGCACGCGAACCGTTCAACTCATGCAGGAGCGGCCACAAGGCTCCGCGAAGACCGGTACATCGTAAGCTGCAAGGCAGAGGCTGTGCGCCCTCTTCAGTGTTTCTGACAGATGGCTACATCTGCACAGGAAGCCTCAAAGGATTTTCGCCCGCATCTGAAACTCGACGACTTGCCGAAGCCCTCTGTTCCAATGCATCTGTCCAAATTCTCATCCCGAAGTATCCGCGGGCAGAATCTTCGAGCGTTGCGCGTCAACAGTTGACTAGAGGCGCGCCAATGGTGTGGCACAGGATGACGCCGGCTATACGGGATGGGGTTGGCCACATGATGACTTTTGAGGCTCAAGCTGAGAAGAGAAGACAAGCGCGTCGTGAATCTATGCTTTGGATCCGCCTTGAGAGGCCGGTATATGGTGGCGTGAGATGGAGGATCCGGTGAGAACTTGGCTGTTGATCAGACCCGGCTTGGGCTTCTGATGGTGATGTGCTACAGGTCAGTACATGTGCGCGCTGTATTTGGTATGATTCGCGACGCGGGGAAGCAAGGCATGTGCATGATTCGGAATTCTTTGCAGCTGCAGCAATGTCTGAGGGGCTGCAAGTGTTGAAATGCGTTCGCCAAGCAAGTTCACCGGCAGCTTTGGGCAACGACGACCCATACAGACAGGACGCATGCAGTCTTCACGGCTCCGGCGAATGCAACGACAAGTGGTCATGACATTTCGGTGTGTGCCACTAGATGCCTGTAGAGGTACATGCCCAAGACGGACCATGCAAAGATGCATTCATGTCGTTTCAGATGTCTTATACACATATGTCTACATGCAATATACAGCCCCCATCCATAACCTAGTAGAAGGATCGGTTCTGGTTGGGCGACAGCGTTGCGTTCTGCCCCACGAAGTCCCAGTCAATCCTGTCCCACCACTTCTCGAGGAATGCCCTCTTGCCCCGGACACCGTAATCCTGCAACCAGACATGCTCCCATGTGTTTACGCACAGCAGTGGCACTACATCGATGCCGCCCAACGGCTTCTTGGCCCTCGAATCCTGCTGCTGCGACGCCGCACCAAACGACCCGACCTTGTTCATTCCCTGATATGAATCGACATTGTGTGTGTTGAGGTCGTGCGATTGCCGCCTGTGGTGAGCGCCTGACAGCGGCGATCCGGCGAGATATGTGGGCAAGATGCGCAGGCTGCCGAAGCTGGTGTCATTGGTCTGCACGAGCCAGACAAAGCCGGGGCCAAACATGGACTCGGCCGTGGCGAGGAATGTTTCGCGCAGTGTTTCCATGGACGAGAAGTCGCGGTTGATCTGCTTGGTGAGGTCGGTCGACGGCCGCGACTGTACGTCCGGATTGGCGTTGATGCCGCGGAAGAAGAAATGGTTGTTGAAGGCCATGCTGGCAATGTTGAAGGCGTAGGCTTTCATCGGATCGCGGGCAAAGTCTACAACGAGAGCCTTGGCTTCCTGGTTCTCGAATTGTGTACCTGCAAGAGCGACATTAGCCTCAGGCACAGTCTTGGTCTTGAATTGCATCCATCGTACCCGCTGTCGACGCATTCAACTCGTCAACAATGTGGCCTTGGTATTCGGTGTATGCGGTGTTGAAGCCCTTTGGCGAGAGCAGCCCGGGGACGCCATTCTGCTCGATCACGGCATGGTTGTCCAGTGGGGGCACCGTGTAGATGTTGCGGGCGGCGGGCGATGGTATTCTCTATCCCACGTCAGTTCACCCACGACGTATATGGTTGACAGCCCAGCGTACCCTCCAAGCCCCGGCCACAGACTGGAATGCACCCGGCCGGCGGGCCAGACACCGTGTAATCATCATATGTGTGGTGATTGTCGGGCGAGCGATCGAATTGTCGTCGGCAAGTCGTTTCTCCAAGCTCATCTTTTTCCCGGGCTCGAATCATCGCGCTAAAACCCCCATCCAATCACGACGCGTCCTCGCCACGGCAGCCCTGGTGGGCAAAACCTCGCACCCTCCAAGCGCCCGCATCACACGTTTCATCCACTCGACTCCCCGTCCATGCATAGCCACACAAACACCAGAGTCACCTGCCACTGCGACCGTGCTAGCTAAACCCTACACCCGCCATACAATGCCTATTGTCCACTCGGCGCGAAACAGAGCTCTATTCTCGGAACTTAGCCGACGAGATGGGTGGACACGATAGAGCCCAATTTTCCCATCTCGCGGTGAGGAACGTCACTCGTCTCTAGATTTTCGCAGTAAATATCCCAAAGGTAGGGCCTGTCTTTGTCTGCTCATTCCATTGTTTCGTACGTCTCTTTTCATATCGCTTCCATATCGCTTTCGGATTGCTTCCTTATCCCACTGTTTCACACGCTCAAGTCACTTCTTTGAGGTTCGCCGGTCCGACCTCTTGACCATAATACTGTCACCACGCTTCCATCTCCAAGACAATGGCTCCAGCTACATCGTCTCCCAGGCTTTCGAGGATATCCCTTGTATGCCTCTTTGCCTCGCTCATCACAGCTACACATGCATCGCATCTCTTTCTCCGTCAAGCAGAAACATGCGGAGGGAACGCAGACCTGCAGCAGTGCGGATCAGACTTCCCGTCTTCCTTTTGCTGTCCCAAGGACTCAACATGCATGGCTCTCAACGGTGGAGACATACAATCAGTCATCTGCTGCCCATCCGGTTCAGACTGCGCCTACATTCAGCCAACCACTTGCGACACCACGCAGCTGAACGCTACCCTGCACCCAGACAACCAAATGCATCTCTCCGAGACCGACGGCATTGACTTACCCAAATGTGGTGACAAATGCTGTTCATTAGGCTACACATGTCAGGGCACCATGTGCGCCAAAGACACCTCCCCATCACCGACCCCATCTCCAACATCATCCGCAAACGCAACGCCTTCCTCCACTAGCCCCGCCTCCGCATCCCAGACTTCCAATTGCCCAGCAACCGCACCCATTCAAACAAAGCAGGGCTTCGACGGAAAGTCCTTTGCAGCCGGTTTCTTCCCTGGCATAGTCATCGGCGCCCTCAGCACCTTGGCCCTGATCTGGATCATCAAGAAAAGACGCGAATCCCAGTCTAAGGAGCGCTACTCTGGCGACTTTGGCCATGTAGCTCGTCAAATTAGCGACCCCATCTACGACCCTCAACACGCTGCACGGACAGACTTCATGCGTCGGGGCAGCCACTCCGCCCACTCAAGCCCCAATTCAACAGACCGAATAGTCCAAGGCATGAAGGAAACAAACGCCAACCCACCTATCCACGGCTTCACACCCAGGATAAAAAGCATGTGGGACCGCACTCCCAAACTAAACTTTGGGTTTACGGGTGGTCTCCCATCAAATCCCGCTCCCCCCGTCCGTGCAGGAAATCCATATACCGATCCTTACCAAACCCCGCCCCCGAAACCGAAACGCATCCACTCTGCCAGTCGGCGCACGAGTTCCCTCCGTACGAGTACCCAGACATTCAACACACTACAGCCAGGACAACACCGTCCCAATGTGGCAAGGAGCGGCAGCTCAGAAACTATCGATGTCTTGATGCCTGCACCGAGTTTCCTAGCTCCGCCACAGGCACCGGGTATGCGGCGCGATAATCGCTACACAACCGACTCGGCCAACACAACATTTACTAAACTCATGGAGAGGGCGGGGTTTGATGAGAGCGCGCAGCAGGAGGTCAAGGCGTGGAGGACGCCTCGGGCTTAGACTGCGACGCTTTGCTTCATGTTTGTTCCATGATTTTCTCTTCTCTTCGTACATATATTCTACACTCTTTGATGCCTCTTTTGCTAGAGAAGGCGTTTGAGCATTTGTTTCGTTATGGTAGGCTGGCAACCTCACAGCATTTGCATTTGGCTTCGGCGTTGGCTTTTCTTTATATGATACCACATAGGCAGGCCTTTAGTCGCTCTCTACGAGCTGTTCCTTTTACCAGGCGAAAATCGATATTACCATCAACATCAACATCTTCCACTGCCTCATGGTCGTACACGTCATTAGGCGTCTCATTGTCATAACTATGTATACATGTCTGAAGACTCTTTGCGTAAAATCCTAATCAAGTATACCCTGGGTATATATCCGTATCAACTCAATGCAACGCCCATGCACCTCCTCGCCCTACCAAACACTCTTAAAACCTAGTAACACCATCCCGCGAACTTCCTCCAACGATCGGCAAAGTCTCAACGAGATCACCACCGGCCATGTCCACATCAGCAGCTACCGACGCGCCACTCGATCCCACAGTACCTTCACCCGCTATCCTTGCCTCGGCAGCCTGCGCCCTCAGTTCTCGCCCAACTTCCCTCTCCAACACAGCTTGCGTCCTTTTCTTGTGGTTCCCAAACAGACAATGCCAAAGATCGTCTTCCTTGACAATCTCACCTTCGCCCTTTTTGCGCATAAGTTGCTTAAACGGTGCGTTTTGGAGTTCAGCCGAGTTTGCAGCATCGAGAGTCTGTTCTTTGAGAGCGGGGGTCGTGGATCCGGATTGCGTAGGTAGCTTGGACAATGTATTGTTGCTAATGTGTTCGAGGCGGCGGGCAACAGATATCTCATAGATGGCTTCTTCTACCGTGTCGCTAATGAGGTACATGAACACTGTTGTGGGTCGCTGCTGCCCGATTCGATGGACGCGACTAATGGCTTGGAGTTCGATTGCGGGATTAATGAGTGGTTCGCAGAGGAAGACATACGTTGCGTTTACGAGAGTTAGGCCCGAAGAATCGGTTTTGGCATCTAGGAGTAAACATTCGATGCTAGCATCAGCCTTGAACTTCCGGATACCGTCTTTGTCGGTGATGTTGCTGGCGCCAATCTTCCACTTCTTGAGTGCATCGCGAAGCACTTCGAGGAAGTCCCCGAATTGAGAGAAAACGATCGATTTGGCGCCTGGGTCGTTGTTACGGATCCATATTAGGTGGCGCGCGATCATGTCGATCTTTGTGCCGTATGAACCCTCTAGATCGATCATCTTAATCTCTTTCATCGTTGAATCGGAAATATCAGAATAGATAGATGTGGTTGACGAAAAGTCTGGCGTGGAAGCTTGTGTCGGGCTGGCAGGTGTGGTTGTCTCTTCCTTCGCTCTGATCGCGATTTGTTTGAATGTGATGTCTTTAAAATCGGACCCAGATAGCTTCTGCTTACAAGTTGGGCAGGATCTGTGCACCTGCCACCATTGATTGATGCATTCTTTGCAATATTTGTGACCGCAAGCTGTCAAGACGCCAATCTCGATGTCTTCCCTACAAATGATGCATTCAGCTGCCGCTTCATTTTGGTTCTCAGTCCGGAGATGCTTCAGATAAGTGCACTTCGTCTTGAAGCCATTAGCAAGATCCTTTTTTCTCTCTCGCAATTGATTGGCCTTGTCGAACTCGCGCGAGTCGAATGTGTTGTCTAGTTCCTCCTTGTACTTTGCAACGGTATCGGAGATGTGTTGGAATTGCCGATAATATTCCAGACGCTGGTTCATGGTACCTCGGTACATTTCCTGCTCCTTTTCAAGTTCGGTAATGGCCTTCGCTTGTTCTGTGACAACGGCCTGAACCTTGGCATTTTGTTTCTGAAGAATGCCAAGTTCTGAGGAAGCCCGAGCATCGCCGCTGTTGGCTCTCCATTGCAAAGCAGTGATCAGCGAGCGAATGCTAGATACAACACCCTTCAAGGACCCAGCTTGCAACTTCGCCTGTAATCCACGTCGTGTATTGATAACTTCAAGCAGAAGTTGAGGCGCGTGACCTCGATCACTGTCTTCGTCCCCTTTCAGGGCTTGTTTTTCGGCAGCCTTGAGCTCGTGTTCGACAAGATTATCCTGCAGACCGTTGACAGCAGCATTACGGTCCGCAACAAGGGTTCGAAGAGCCATGATGTAAACGTACAGCTCGTCCTGAGCTTTGAGAGAATCGTCGTACTCTTCACCCGTCGTCTCCTTGTCGTCGTCATCATCCACCAGGCGTGTTAGGAGAATGTCAACAATCTTCGCACGCCATGTCTGTATCAACTGGGCTTGCTCGTTCAGATAATCGCTGAGGTTGTCCATCGTATCGAGAATTTTCCGGGCTTCGATACCTCCCAGATCCGGAAGGTCAGCTATTGTAGGTATCTGGTGGAAAGGCTTTCTTGAATCGACTTTAGCCATTTGCTGCTGCGCTCTGCCCTTCGATTCCTTCAGGAGTTCACGGCGAATTACCCTGGCCGCTTCGTAATAATCCGTCTCCAATTTGTCTTTCTCGCGCCAGTCATCTGAGTCTGGCTCTGTCAATTGTGGATTTTCTTTGATCTGATGCCAGGCGGTGGCGGTAAAGAATTGAGCTGCATGCTCAAGCTCTAGAAATGACCGGAGCGATTTGCGCAGAACTGGAATGCGACCCATATTGTCTCCGTCGATGTCTTCGTCTTCATCAGCCCCGTGGAGGCCACCTGTGGATACGCGGCCTAGCTTCTGCTGCTCCGCTAGTAACTCAGCTCTGCATATCGCAATATATGATTGTGCCTCAGTCCGCGCTTTATCATAGTATTCAAGCGACGACTTTGCACGATTGGCGAAGTTTCCTGCGTATGCTTGGATGTGACCCATCTTGATCAGACACAGAACCATTTCGCGAGCCTCTGCCTTCCACTTTGTGTCGTTCTGCTCTATCATGACCTCTAAAACTTCGTGCACGGTACGCAAGGCACCGTTCTTTGCACCTAACGCTTTCTTGTTCTTTCGACCTACGTTTGCATGGAGACAGGTCTGGCGCAATCTTATTAGCCACTCTCGCATGCGCTCGACAACCTCTGGGTGGGTCTCATCGCGACCTTCTTCTTTCGGTTGCCCTCCGGGGGTGAGCCAGCATGCATCGCACATTTGACGCATCATTTCATTGTAATGCTGCTCCTCGATGGTCGTGAACGGAACAGTGATGACAACACGTTTCTGCGGTGGTATTTGAAGGTCATCACGAACCCTTGCTTTTGTGTTTCGCACAGCAATCTCGTTGAAGATGCCTTTGAAAGACACCTTGTCTAGACGAGTCCAGGCCGCCTTGTTGTTCGCAAATGCATCGCACCTAAGGAAGATCAAGAGGCCACGTAAATCCTGGACGTCTTTGCGAAGAGGAGTTCCGGAAACCGCCCATGCATTACATCTGGGGATGATTCGAGCTACTTGGGCGGCCTGACTGACCCCGCTTTCAACCATCTGCGCTTCATCTAAACAGACCCTCCACCATGAGATGCCGACAAGGGGGCTATGCCGGCGGTCCTGACGTTTTGGACGTCGAGAGCTGCGATCAGGGGGAGGTACAGCGTGGTGGATCTCTTTCGAAAGGACTTGATATGTCGTCACTACTACATCGTGTTGCATGAGATAGTCGACTGTGGCTGTGGCATGGTCTTTCTTTGGTGCAGATTGAGAGGGGAGACCCTTGTAATGGCAGACCTTAAGATCAGGAGCATGAGCATGTATTTCGCTCAGCCACTGTTCCAGAATCGAAGGAGGAGTAATGATTAGTGTAGCGCCTGAAGGCCTAACCTGAGCTCCAGTGTATGTATCATAGATGTTACCATCAAGGATGTCCCGCTTGTGATGGGATATGAGCGCGATTAGCTCAACGGTTTTACCTAAGCCCATTTCTTCGGCGAGTATACCACCGCGCAGCGACTGTAGGGTGTCGTTCTTAGCTGCATCTAAATTGGTGACTATAGTGCCCCGCAGCTGACTGACGTAGCACGGTACTCCTGCCACATCTTGTGTCTGCCTAAATGATACTGGTGGTGAAGTGTTGACAAAAGGCTCCAGTAAGCCAGAAGATGAGAATGCAACGCCTTCTCGACGCAAGAGCCAATCAACAGTCCTTTCTTGGAAAGGCAGAAGCTTGGTGTCGATCAAACCTTGTTTGATAAGCGGTGAAATCTCTGTGTTCGCGGGTGGTACATGTACGGAATCGTAAAAGTCGGATAGGGTCCAAGACTTGTCGCCTCTCGGAGCCGCATCGCTCATGTATTTCGAGAGGAGCTTCAGGTCCGCGTTCATGTAATGGCCTCGAATATCTGGATCCTCAACCACAGATATGTTCAGAGTCCACCGTATCTCCACTACCAACTTGTATTGACTGCGCCCGTGCGTGGGTGGGTGCAGCTGGCATCGACAGAAAGCCGCGCGAGAAACAGGTTTGTGTCTTTTGCCCTGAAGCGAGGTGGCAAGTGCAGAGGCATTCCGTAGGTGGGGTATGACCGAATCTATGAAAGGTGAGGGAGTTGTGGCAACCAGGTCGACACCCGTTTCATTGACAGCGTTCCAGAGTTTCATCTGAAGAGTATCTCCTGTGTGGTCTCTCCGACAGGATTCAAGCTCTAGATTTACGGGTTCTTGCGATATGGCCGGGGTATACGTGATACTTAAGGAGTCTTGCGATGGGGTAGGCATGTTCTGTAGACATGTTAGTTGGACTCCATAAGAATCGACCAGCCTACTCACCAAATCGATGGATACGTTGGCTAAGACAACACTATTCTTTTCATTAGAGTCCGCCTGCGGCCGTACTGGAATGGCATTGCCATTTCTGGATTTGCGTCGTTTGGGCGAAGGTTCTTCTTCTTTAAGCGCAGTAGGTGCTGCGAATAAGTCTTGTATAGTACGGATGCAACTCGAGGTATCTTGCGCCGGAAGCGACGATGGCCCGCCAGGACTCCGGACGTCGGCCACAGAAAAGGCAGTTGCACGCAGCAGCTCAGCACTGCCCTCTAAAGAAGACATAATGGCTGTCGACTCAAGGTGTCAAGAGGAAGCCGTGGTATAACAAGGGACGAGGCGAACGCGGGTATGAGCGAATGTCGGCCATCGCGGACACGCTAAGATAAGTGATAAACCAGGGTCAGCCCCACAACCAGGCATCAGTTCAAGATGGTCCGCCTTCACTATGACCCCTCACCGCTAACCTTCTCTCTGAAGAATTCTTCGCCTCACGCGTGAATACAGCAAATCTGGAGAGATTAAATCAAACGTTAGGCTTCGTGCCAAAAGTGACTGTTGGTAATAACTAGCTAGTTGTCTCTTTCATCTACATGGTTGAAGCAATCTCCAAGTTGCCATTGCTCCTGCGCCAATGACGTGTTCCAACCACTCATAAGGTAGGCTGTTCTATATGCGCCCTAACAATGGCTGTCTCTTTGCTCAAAGAACAGGCACGGAAGTGTACCAAAGAGACATATATAATCCTGTACCACAACTGAACACATCGTTGGAGATGGCCCGTGTATGCGTGATGCCGTCGGCTGTCCATGGTCGGATGATTGCGATCTAGTGGCTCACAGTGGAGAAGTCTTCGGCGCGGGGCGTTTGTCATCAGGCGACAACCGAAGTCCCGTCTGGACAGCCGAAGGTTCCTGTGTTCGGGCCTTCGCTTTGTACTCATCCTTCTCGACAATCTTGACGTCCCTAGGGACAGATATGAGCATAGTCTCGGTGTTACGCAATGTCAAATCCATATAATTCCGTAGCAGGTGTTTACTCCGTGGCCAGCACTCTCTTGATCGGTTCTGCAGCCTCGATGAACTTCTCGACCATGGTATCTAGCTTTGTGAGATCGTCCTTCCCCTTCTTGACCTCTGCGATGAGCTTCTGCTTCTGCTTGAGCTTCTCCTGTCGTGCCTCTTCGAGCTTGAGACGGACTTGGTGTTCGTGCTCGATGCGCGCGGTCATGAGGTCGTGTTCGGTCGATTCCTTGTGTTCGGGAAACTGTTCAAGGAACTCTTCGCGAGAGATAAGTGGCAGTTTCATATATTTGTGGCTGTACAGGTATCAGCTTTGAACGCAAACTTTCGCATAGGGACATACTCGTAGTTCTCGGCAGCAGAAATCTCAGAACGCAGCGACTGCTCCTCATACTTGAGATTGTGAAGGCCCAGAATCAGCGCATCATTCACAGCCCTGTCATCGGATGTCTTCGCCTTCTCCTCGCGCACTTTTAATACGCTTTGGCGGTAGAGAGTTTTGACAATTGACAGTTGCGCGCGAATGTACTTCTCCCTCTTCTGAATCTCTTGCGTAGCTTTCTTCTCCTGATCTATATCTTCGCGCGAACCCGACTTCGGGTTCTTTGGGTGAGCAAGCTGGTAGTCTACAAGCTCGTTGATGAGCTTCTTGAGGTTCTGCACTTCTTTATGGAGGCGCGCATTGTGCGGCGTCTTGAGGAGATCGGTGACGTTGAAGGAAGAAAGATCGGCAGGCATCGCATCTTCGGATCGCGCAATGGGGAGCTGCTGTTCGCTCATATTGAAAACCTTTGCGGGTTGTGGCCGTTACTGTTGTCGTGGCGTTGTTCGCGGTCATCGCGAACAACGGCACTAGTCATGCCTTGGCACAACAGTCACATGATGTCGTGTTCCTTTGGCGTCCGCTGTCACCCAGGCACCAGAGCTGCCGTCTTCCATCTCCACAACCAGGCTGAACTCTCGGTAGATTTCACAGCACGTCCAATAAATTGCTTAAGATCTTGATCGCGCCACATCTGATCGATCCAGGTAAGCGACGCGCAAGACGAGATGAGATGTGTACTAGATCCTGGCCCTTTTGATCCCATAGCGCGCCGCATATGTCCTCGCCTATCGCCTTGAAGCATCCTGAAGGGATTTCTACATTGAGCAAACCACGCATTAGATCGATCGTTCTCAACGCACTGGTCATACGTTCAACCAGTGCAAGTGCCAGCACTGAGCATGTCACGCACACACACGGACCGTGGCTGCGAGGCTCGAGGGTCGTCCTGCCTCAGCTCAGGTAACCCGGTATCGGGGACTGTGATATATTCTACTACCTGCATATTGTGCGTTTCGAAGCTACGACCGAAGTACAAGGATATACACAAGTTTTCCAAGCTGGGCACCACTGCAAGGAGGCCGTTTGGTGGAGTGGAGAGCGACAGGCCTCATATCTCGGGTTCCGGTACCGATGCTGTCGTTACCTTTCAAAGCACTCGCCAAGCGCAAAGACTCCGTGCTTCCGAGTCCAAGCTGACTCGTCTTCTATCGTCATGCCAAACCCTTCCTCAGAACTCCATCCTCGACCTTGCACAGCTGTGCCGCTCCATGACACGCTTTTTCTTCATTTTAACCCGTGAGCGACGAGATTCGTCACAGATACTTTGCCACCAAAGTTCATGTCCGTTGGAAAGCGACCCGAGCCCGTACATCGGCCAAATCAATATAGATCCGACGAAGTCCCATTCAGCTAGCAGAAACGGCGATTTGTTCAAGAACGGCCCAGAATTCCTGCCTTCGCAGGTACTGGGCGCGCACTATCTATAGCGCGGTCCGCGGTAGAGCGTTAGCGCCATACTAGGCTGCCTAGGATCTGAGCCCGAGATGAGAAATTGCGGAGGATTTGCATGACCGCAGGCGCCCAAGGTTTGCTTTTCCATGAAGATCATTGCAACGTTCAGACTTTGGGCCACGGCCAACGTCTCATTTCAAACGGCCTGAAACGTCGAGAGACACCCGACTGGGTCATACACGACTCACTGTGAGCTTCTTTATCAGCAAGCTGCCGGGTACCTTCTTCCTCGGCAAGAGCACGCAACGTGCTTGGCTGGAGACCCGGGACTAGTGAGCCAATCTTTGCCCTTTGGCATCTTGCATCACCGCAAAACCTAGTTTGGGACCAATTATATCGGACATCCATGAAAGACATCTTGACGGCTTCGACACGCTCATGGGCTGGCTAGGCCTTCCGCTACCCTCGCGGACGAAGAATCTCAGGCCCACACTCTGATTATTCAAATTTTAAGACCTTGTCATTTGTCGAAACGGATTTTGAGCATAGCGGAGATATGTCCGATGAGGTCAGGCCTCGCTGTGGCTGTTGGTGGCACCGACCATAGATCGATTCTGTGCGGCACAGCTAGCGATACGATTTCGCAACCAGGGGTAGACGAAGTTTCAACGAAGCTTCGGCGACCCTTCTGGCAATCCCTAGAGCACCGAAGCGCCTCTTCACGGGGCGAGGAGCTTTAGGTTTCTGGAACGTCACCACACTCTAACGAAACGGCGCATCCTTTACTCAATTGTTGTACGTCGGGCCGTGCGGCGCGAAGACACTTTGCGTGCGTATACTGCATGCAAGATCATCACGAGTGGAGCTAGACCACGCGGAAGGACACGACCGACGGACCCTAGATGGGAATTATCAGTGTGTGGCTGGTAGGCAAATGCTCATTTGCTTTTCCCGTTACGTTCGGCGCCTTGTTCATGCAACCACGACTACACCCATGCGCAGTTCGTTTGCGGGATTGAATATCAGCGGGAGATCTCAAATGACTTGCATCAAGCGGCTATGCAAGCTACTGAGTTCTGCGTCGTTCACTATCATAAGTTCTCGAGATGCTATCTTGTATGGCAGTCATAAAGTAGTTGGAGGGGTTTCAGCTCCTCGCATGACCAACGCCTAGTTCATACATGCATGCAAGCAGCACGAGGCAGCCATCTAGGTGTGGACTAGAGTTCCGAGAAGATCAGCCCGCACGATGCTCGGCTAGTAGTAGTGTGGCATGCAGCTGTGCCAGCAGGCACAATCTGCAGGCTGCAGTCACAACTATCAGCTAGAAGGGAGCTGCCGGCAATGGAAAATGATATTCACTGGTGCTACAGTTTGCTAAACTATATGGCGCTCGACATGTTCCCGAATATGGGCTGCGGCCCACAGCACCGACCGTATGTTTTCCCCTTATGCACGCGCATTTTCACGTGGAATGGCAGGTGTCATCTAGGATAACCCTAGGACAACCTAGGGCGTTGCCATACAAATCTTGGCACTAACCCCGGCGAAGGCGATAACCCAAACCTTATTCCGGACCTTTAGAGCCTCCGCTACAAACTTAGGGCTATGACACGACGCGATTCGCCCTGGCCGCGCCTCCTTGACTCGATGCTCATGCGGGCTAGAGCAGGCGGACGGCCTGGCTTACCACGGTATTTGCAGTGGGCCAGAGATAGTTCTTAGTCAGGGCCCTCGAGTGCACTGTAAAGAAGCCTCATTGACCCGCTTGCTCGTCTCTTTGATTTCCCCAGCATTCGTTCATTTTTACCATCTTCGTTATGGCTCCAGCAAAAGAAACGTCGGTTGATCTGTGCAAGCGGGTCAATGCACAGGGAAACACCATTGCCATCCGCATGCTCGAATATCTGAGCACTGCAAAGACACCTATTCATGGCTTCGAGCCACTCGCCAGAGAGTTCATTGAGCTCTGCCAAGTATTATGGTCCATCGAAGCTGGAGTTACGGAAGCGTCCAAGACACGGAGTGGATTCCCAGTCGAGGTATCTCAAGAACTTGACAGGAGGGTCCGTCAGGTTAATGAAGAGTTCTCTGTTCTGGCCCAAATGGTTAACAAATGTAAGTTTGTCTGGTTTCTTGAGTTCTTCATTTCTGAACTTGAATCTTCAAACAATTACGGTGAATTATTGCTGACGGCATTAGTTGTCGACAAAGAGAACCACAAAGGCGGATTCGGTATGAAGTTCCGAATGATGTTCGCCGATACAGACGTTGAAAAGATGCGCCACACACTTTCACGGAGCCGTGACTCCCTCAAAGTCAGCTCTGCCATGTTCAGGTGGACACTTGGCGATGCACGAGCTGATGCCTCCATGGGTATTGGATACGCCGGACTGATTGCTGCATTGGAGCGATTGAACCCAAGCAAAGCCTCCAGCCTTCCGCCTCTACACCCAGCGCCGACATCTGATCTTCCACCAACACCTCCAACGAAGGCTCCAAGCCATCATGGAGATCACCCACTCTTGCCACCTTCACATGCTTCGCACCGTATGGACAGACCATCTTTGAATGAACTTCGCCATGAGGAGGGTCACTCATATGACAGTCACAGTTCACATTTCAGACATGAGGACACTGGTCTATCAGCCGGAATCGTAGATCTACACAAAAACTGGCGCGCGCCAGCCAGTGCGCGTTCAAGCGAATCAACAAGAGATACAATGTACCATCAGAATATTCGGCATGAGGATCCTGTGTACGAGGACTATGCTTCGCACTCCAGCACTCGGTCACCCACAATGGAAGAAAAACTACATGGTCTCAGCGTCAGCGAGCGCTATATGGACGACCATCACTCTTCGTCTAAAGTCGACTCTGCCATCACATCGCCGCACTGGGCACCTCGCCAGAGTGGAGGCTCAAAGAATGTTGGTGGCAAGGCAGCACTATTCAATGCTGTTGAGCAGAGGAGACATCGCATGCTAGAGCAGCTTCTAGACGGTGGAGCTAAGGCTGAACCTCACATGGAGTCCGCGATGCTTCGCGTCGCTGCACAGAATCAGGACGCGGAAAGTATCATGCTACTTCTTCGATATGGCGCAGATGCTAATGGTTTCGACCGTGAGGGTGTCACTCCCCTGTTTGCGACAACTCGTTCTCAGTGCCTTGAAAGCGCGAAGATACTCCTCAAGCACGGAGCAGATCCTAATCTGTCTGCCGGCCCTGATTCCGAGTCACCTCTAGCACTGGCTGTGTCTCAGAATGCTATTGAATTCGTCCAGCTATACCTCGCCAACGGTGGCGATCCTGGTTTCGTCATGGAGAACGGTTCTACAGCACTCGTCTCAGCTATGAACAAGACCACCTCGCCCAAGTGTGTCGAGATGCTCTTGAGCAAGGACGGTGATGCCAATGCGAAGAATGGAGAAGGCACAACTGCTTTGTTCCAGGCTATCCAGGCGAACCGTGTAGATCTCATGACGGTGTTGCTCGATCACGGAGCGAATCCCAACCTTCCGGGTCCTAAGCATCCACTCTGGCCATCCACTTACAAGCCCAAGTGCCTTCAGTTGCTGCTATCTCGCGGTGCTGACACCAAGAAGACGCCTGGTGTCATGGAATTGGCTTCTAGTTTGAAGAAGCTGGACTCCATCAAGATCCTTATGGAAGCTGGCGTATCTCCTAACGTCCGGAAAGATGGCGTCTACACACCACTTTGCTCGGCCATTCGTGATAACAGCCCCGAGATTGTTACGTATCTGCTAGAGCATGGTGCAGACCCAAACTTCAACGCAGCGGAATACCCAGCTTTCAAGAGTATTACACACAAGCGCACACATTTCCTACCGCAACTGGTTGCAGCTGGTGCAGACCTTAACAAACCTAAAGGTATTATCGAAACCGCTGTCAAGTTCAACGACAAGGACGCGATGATCTACCTGCTCGACCAAGGCGTCAACCCCAACGATCGAACACCGGATGGATGCACACCGCTCACCACTGCTATCAACGACGATCATGGCGAGCTCGTCGATATCCTCCTTTCTCGTGGCGCGGACCCAGCTATCCGTGGAAAGGACTGGCCTCTGTGCATGGCCGTCAAGCGTCCCGCCATCCTCAAGAAGCTCCTTGCTGCAACTCCCAACCCGCGCGCTTTCCGCGGTGTCGTCGAGATGGCTGTCGTAGCCAACCAACTTGAAAGCATTAAGCTCCTCCTTGCAGCAGGCGTCAGCGTCGAAGACAAAAACTGTGGTGTCTTCTCTCCACTCACAACAGCCATTCGCGAGGAGCGTAAGGTCATTGTCCGCTACCTCCTCGACGTAGCCAATGCCGACCCCAACGCCCCCGGCGAGCATCTTCCGATCGTCAAGGCCCTTCGCCGCTACTCCGGCGACACAGAAATCATTCAGATGCTGCTTACACGTGGCGCTGATATTAACAAGATGCACCGCGGCTGGAACGCGATTTTGCAAGCTGTCGAGAATGGAGACGCTGAGATCCTCAAGCTTCTCATCGACATGGGTGGCCCTCCTGACCTCCAATTGCAGGACGAAGCCGGCCGGGCCGTCATCGACATTGTTACCGAGAGGGGCTGGGAAGAGGGCCTTGCACTTCTTTTTCCGAATGCAACTACCCCTCCAAAGGCCAATGTGTCAAAGGCCAGGTAGTAGGTAATCCACCACTGCTTTCTTCTCTTGTTACTTTGCGGCGAGCAGAGTGCTGACTGGCTGCAATAGTAACAAGAAGAGTTTCTCTATCTCAGACTGGCGCTGGATGAGCATAGAACTTGAGAAAGGCGAGATGAAGAGTAGTGATGACGAGGATGAAGTTCCAGACGACTGTAGTCAAGCTTCAAGTGAGCTACTGCATGTATGATCGGAAGTTCATTCCATCTGATCGCGTTTCATTTGTCGGTAATGGAAGTAATGTTGGCTGGGACGTTTGGTCTGCTTGTGCATTTTTGCCACGGAGTTCTCGGTATACCACCTGTTGTTTAGCATTTCCTCTCTTCTGTTACTCATGACATGGGAGGACTTGGAGCGCGCGTTCAACTACCTAATCGGTAGCATCTTTTTCATTTGTTTTGACCGAGACTTTATTCCTATATGTCATTCCTTCAATACACGAATACACATACAATCAGACTTGATCTCCGTCTTCCCCAATCTTCACAGACCACCGCACCCATCCGTCACATACCCCTCTTCTACACACCACCTCATAATAATCAAGCATTCCTCGGTCCGAATACCTCCTCATTCCAGGCGTCCATCCAGGCGTCTCTAGCTCAAACTTATTACCCTGCATCAAGCAACATTACCCTAGTTCGCCACACGTCCATCCGCCTCCACTTTCCAGACTTTCGGGACATACCAAAGCTTACCACTAGCACGAAATGATGGAATTGGAGGCTTGAGTCTACTCGCTTTCGCGCTCGCGACAACGCACACATGCGGAAATGCGTTATCTTAGTGTAGGTCTAGAAATGTAGACAGAACTTAATCGGCGATCGCAATTGCGCCACTGCCGTTGCGGGTCGTTAGAAGTAGATCTTGGTAACTGGAGGGCATACGGCAGGTACGGTTGATGCGCAAAGGCCATTCGGATCTCTTCCGCCTGGAATGTCGGGACGGGAGTAGATTACTTAACATTGTCCGTGTTCTGGAAATGGCCTTTACTTGGCATCTGAATGGAGCTATTTGTTTTGAGCGCTGGCTTGCCCTGGCTAGAAGTCTCCTTCATGTCATAAGGCGAGCAGGTGACAATATCCGTGATCAGTATACCCGAGCGCGAAGGCAGTTGCAAAAGAGGAATAACGCAATCGTAATTCGCTGCACATCACAACACATAGCTTTAACAAGAAATGGCATGCAAAAGTGTAACATCATTAGACTACTCATGATATATGCTGCTGTTGCTGCTGCTACAAACAACGACGCAGGCCTCCAGATCTCCAAGAAAAGAATGTGACATTGCGTGACGAAACCGAAGGGTATAAGAATGGATCGGTTTCCCGTAGAAGCGTGAATGCGGTGAAGTTCGTAAAGTCGTAGACCAGAAAAATTCATCCAACGTATTTTGTATGGCGCGAAGTAGTGAAGGGTGAGCGTGAGCCTGACCGCGAAGGCTCGAACGCGACAAAAGAAAAGGTGTAAAGGACTATCACACAAAGGTTGTGAAAATCGCGTCGAAAGGACATCCTCGAATGGACACTGCAAACGCCCGTAGTGCTCGGTGGCGGACTCGAGAAGGACGTTAAGCCTTTCAATCAACCAAAGCGACCTATACGCTGGGAAGCCAGAAGGAAAGCAAGAATTGTCCCACAAGGCGTGAAGTATACTTCGTCTGGTTATCACTCGAGATGCTAACCGCCTGGCGTTGTTGCAGGAAATCAACTGAATTCTCATTAGCAACATATTCAGCCGGCATGCCCACGCCGGAGCGGCATTCGGTGTACTCACTGTTCTCCTTGACTAATTGCGCAACCTGCCTCACAAAGTTCACACTGTTTGCATCCCCAAAGCCCACCTCTTTTTCCCAGTCGTGATCTGCATCCCGCATGGGATTATGCTTGCGATTGTACTTCCATCGGAATATTTGCTGCACAAAATGCATCCGTTTATCGATCTCACGGCACGCGATATCCGCCTGGCTCTGCGCATCCCTTTGATCTAGGCCCTCTGTGGTAGCCTTGGTAGACATGACAAGATGTATGGTCTTTTGCTGGTCTTCAAGTGCCATGCACATTCCTAACACTGCAATAAATGCCGCAAGCCATTTGTCACAACCTTTGGAAGATTTGAAGATCTGTTGAAGCTTATTGAGAACAGTGGTTTGGATCGAGCGTTGAAGGCGTGAGAAGAAGTATTTGAGTTGCCGGTTGGTCATGCGCGGCGATGTATAGTTTTCGACGTAGGAGTTGTGGCCGCTGTACGAGTGCATACGCGATAGTGTATCGACTTTCGTTTCCTCGGCGATAGTAAGCGTATGCGACATGATGAATGTTACTACGATGAGGCGGAAGATCTCGCGCAGTAGCTTTGCTTCGTCGTCCGACTTGGGTTTTACGCGCGTCATCAACTTGAAGAGTTTCTGCTGGAAGTCGTTGTCGTCTTCCATCCAACAGAGTTCGCCAAAGGCATCAAGGTGGTGGTCGACGATTTCAGTGATGTATCGGTCGTACTTCTTCTCTTCGTTGTGGTTGATGTGTACCATGCCCAAGGCTGGGCTTTGCTTCTGGATTGCGACTCTTGTGTGCGTGACAGGATCAGTCTTGTATTGGATCTGTACCAGTAGGGCATCTCCACGGGGTATAAACTCGTACACTTTCACTGGTATCCGGGGCATGCTGTCCTGACCACATGTCATCATCACGGTTAGTTCGACGCTCCCCCATTGCTGGATGTACTGAGTCACAAAGTGCGTCAAGTTCGCGTCCTCATGCATCTGCGTGACTAGAGAAGGTAGAAAGTACGGCGACAAGTCGATCAGCTTCAGCCGGTTGCATCCAAGGCCGCAATCGGCATTCGGTCGCTGTGATCGCTTAAAACAGCGCTCGCATATATCGCCTGGCCCACATTTATCTCTCTGCAACACGCAGTGCCAGCATGCAACGATCTTGCGCATGTCATGCGCTGCTTTGGCAACAGTTGGCTCGAGATGGGTGCCTAACGCCCTGCCCCCAGACTTCGCCGCTAATGCTTTTTGTGCTGCACTCTGGGACGATTCTGGCTCAGGAGATGCATCAAAGCTTGTCTCTGGCACACCGCTCATGACGGAGTAATCGACTTTGATAGGAGGTTGTTGGGCTTGTTGTATCTGCGACAGTTGTTGCATATGAGCATATGGTGGAGGCTGATACTGGTCGAACATCATTCCAGGGTCAGAATGCTGGTACGAGGAGTACATGCCGTCGGAACTTCCTGGACTGGGTGCAGAAGGGCTAATCTCTGGCTGGTACGGGGACCTTGGAGGGTAACCTGTTGACGATGCTGTCGACGGTGGGGCAGGGAATTGGTTGCTAGTGATGTAACTATCTGTAAAAAGACTAGACGATGCGTTGTAGTTGACGAAGTTCTGCTGGTCAGGTGGTGGTGATGCCCGCGTTAGTTGCATCTCAATCGATTGATGAGTCGGTAGTTGCGTCCGTGGTACATGGTCGTATGAGTGATGAGGATGGTTCTGCCCTTGCGGGAAGTACAGGTCCCCTTGGAACGATGTAGTAGGCTCGCTGGGCGAGATCAAGGAGGAAGGATCCGTGTATTGAGCTGCCCATGAGTCTACATCGATCAAGTAATCTGAATAATTGATATGGTCGCTCGCAGGGTCGAAAACGACATGACCGGATCGAGGGACCATCGAAGAACGCGAAGGTGCTTGTCCGTTCCAAGGGTCATGACGAGGTGGCTGAGTAGTATAGTTCTGGTTGAACATGTTTGTCTGAGGATGTAGTGGTGAAGTGTGGTGCGAATGTTGAGTTTGCATAGCATACTGTTGCTGATATTGTTGAGCCTCAGCCATTGTAGCGTTGAAGGCCGCTTGTACCGCTGTGAAGGCGTCAGCAGATATGTACGAGCTGGCTCAAGACAACTAACCTTGGTCACTGAGTATCATGCTGGAGTCCACCGCCGGTATAGAGTGATATGAGCTTTGAGTTGACATGGTGTTGCCGTTGTGGTGGTAAGTGGGCGAGAAATCAGTCATTTCCCCCTCAAAGGATGAGCCGTCGGGTGTCCTTACGGATGTAGGAGAAGTCGAAGAACTATCATTCTCCCATTGCATATACTCGGGCGGTTGATCTTGAGGTAGTTCCAGCTGTTGCGATAGATTGCGGCTCGCCAGTGGTGGGGTCGCAAGTGGGCCAGGGGAATGCCCAGTATGGTTGATCAGGGAATCTGTTGGTGTTTTCGACCGTCGGTTATCATATTGACCATATCCAAATGCATGCGGATCGATGAAAACCGGTTGTTCCTGGTACGGGTGGTAGTGCTGCGAGTATGTCGACATGGTGCGCAAGTGGCCGCTGGGGGCCGGATAGATGTTAGGTTCTTCCTAGACCTTGCGCATCAAACGGCTGTGAGAATCCTGTGTGGGTTGATGTCCCAGTGCTCGACACACGGACTGAAGATCGTGAAGACGGGAAGGCAAACGGCTCGTACCCGCGCAGAACAGCGATGCGCAACAGGGAACGACGCGCGGGACAGGTCCGACCAGAATGAGGGACGTCCACCGCGACTCGAGGAGGACGCGCAAGAAGAATCTGTCTCAGAGCAGCTGATTGTCAGAAGTTCAGATGGCGATTAGTCTGGCGGCATTCGAGCCCATCTTACGCTGCCCCGCGAGGACCGGTGAAGGACGACCGGCAAATGCAAGCTATTGGCTTAGCTGCATGCATCCGCACAGCTTTTAGATCGCACCAAACCGCAACCAACGTTCGTGCTGCCTCCGCGCTGCGCTGCAAATCACCGACTGTTTGAAATTGAAATAGAATCGCGAAAGTGGCTGGTCACGTCCAATTTTGCGCTTTTGAGTCGCGATTTTCGCTCGTTCTGTGAGCCGAATTCTGAAACACATGAGGTTGTCCCCAGCCGCCTCGACGTGCCTCAGGCATAGGTTTATGCAATGCACTGCACAGCCTGCGCCTTGTTCGCTAAACCATACCTCATCAAATTCAGCCTTGGTGGAACGAATGAAGGTCGTACTGAAGGTGATGGCTGGTCGAGCAACTGCGAATTACGACCTAGTGCGGCTCTGCAGTGCTCACCGGTTGGCAAGCTGCCAGCTCATGCTGCGGGGGATGACATATGTACGGGAACCCAGTCCAATTGTTTTACTCCGGTAATATGTCATACCATTGTTTCTATCCGGATGCGCGCATCGATGGGATGTGAGCGCTCTGTGTAAGATGGCCTGTCGACTGCCAGCGCACACTGGTGGAAGGTAAGGTAAGCCGAACCACGAAGCGGCTGCCGCGCATGATGTATTGCTCGACGTGCTTGACTCGTATATCCGGACAAAAACCTAGGGATGCGACTGTTAGGGTTCTCACAATCTTGCAATGAAAGAAGATGCACCAGAAGTGCCATGGATATATGTAGGCCTGTCGCTTTGCGTGGGCTCGTAGACCTATCTGAGAGGGCACTCGAGATCACATACTCCAATCGGGTCTATGCCCAAACGAGCCTAGAGAGTGGGTAGTACCGATGCGGAACATGATCTTCGCATGACCGGCTTCTACCACGAGACAACAATTAGCGTCAAAAGTGGACTGCGCCACAGGAAACCCTAACAATATCGTCATTTTACAATTGGACCTTATAGAATCCCTGTAGGCAGGGAGAAGATGCAACACATACTTCATAACGTGAGAGCAACCGGGCCGCGATCGGCGTCACATTCAATTATTGCCTCACGTATGCCCCACGATTATCGATGAGATGCTAGTGAGTGTCTTCAGAGAGCTAACTCGCATCGCACGCTGCGACATCCTGGAGGCAGGAACACGACTGGTCCTGATCCAATGGATGAGAGAGCAGCTGGCACAGATGTGGAGATTGGTGGTTCGGAACCGCCTTTCGCTACGGAGTACCACGACTTGGAGCAAACATGAAGGCACTCTGCCCTCGCGGACTGCCATACTAGGAGCCGTGCAATACTACCAAAACAATTCCTGTCTAGCTACCACGAGGCTGTGCATATCTGAGCAACTCCGTGTCCTTCATCAATCGATCATGGCATCCTTTTTCCAAGCACACACATACCTCAATACCTTCGTCGACGGCATTGTCCTTGACATCCGCCCTGCTTGGGTATACAAAAACATAGCCTTCGAACTGGGGATCCGGAAACCGGATGGCTTTCGCAACACCAAAACCGAAATCGTGTTTTTGGTATACATTCATGCCTTGCCAGCTCGTGCCCGCCAAGTCCATACCCAGGAACGAGCTCATGTTAATGCTTATCCATCGTCTATCGTCTAGTCCTGCGATCCACTCAGGTAGCTCAGCGACGTACTGTGGAGTGATGGTCTTGATCGAGTTTCGCACTCTTTGCGCAATTTCCGGAAGATTATTTTCGGCGATGAGTTCGGAAATCTTTATTGGCTCCGTGCGGGGAAGCGCGACTGCATTGCCCATCATTGTCTCTTGCAAAGGCGGGTCCAGTATCTTTCGTGTATTTACCGCGTGTACCAGTATGACCTCCTTGGCAAGGTCAGGGTGCAGAAGGTCGAGCTTGGATCGTGTGATGCTCTTTCAGAGAATCGACATTATTGCATCGTAGGTCGAGATCCAACTTTCTCCTGTCTTCGCCATCGCTTGAGATTTGAGTTGCTCCGTCTTACTCTTAGGGAAATGCCACATCCGGATAGCCAATTCTGGCATCTTGAAATCAGCCGGTGGTGGTGGAGGGGGTCCACCGCCATCCTTGAGCACAGGAAACTTGCGGTCAAGTTCTTTCCACCGCGCAGCTTCCGGTTTCTTCGCACTGAGACGCGATCGATCCATTGTACCATGGGGAACTACTTCGAAGGCAGTCCCATTGATCACTGCTTTGGAATTCCTCGCCCAAGTAGTGAGAAACCCGTCGCATCCTGGGCCATCAGAACAGTTATGGTGGATAGCAATACCAAGTACAAGACCGCCTTTGATGAAGTTGATCTGGAATGTCGATATAATGAGATCGTCTTTTTGATTATCCCCAAGAGGCGAGAATAGCTGTTTCTCTGTCACCGCTTTTGGCAAGAGCAAGTGCCCTTTGAAAGTTGCGGCGGGAAAATCGGTCCTATCCAGCTCATCGAACGACAGGAAAGTCTCTTCCAAGTCCTGCACGAACAGACTAGCCTCACCATCCTTCTTTTTCGTCACCCACAATCGACCGTTCTCCGCATCCATCTTCAAGCCGCCGGCAAGGATGGGGAACTGACTCAAGGTAAATTCCAGACCCTTGGCCATGCTGTCCACAATCTCAGCCTTGTCCACGGGTTGTGTGAGCCTAAATATCTCTACTATCTGGACATAGATCTTCGGCATCGTGTGATCCATATCAGAGAGAGCGAACCGCTCTTCTGCGGGAGCGTTCTCCCAGCCTGCTGGGCGGATTCGAATTTCTTTCGTAGACATGGTAACTTGCTGAGATGAGACTGAATTGGGGCTGGGCAGCTACAGACCTTGCAACAAATGAGAGGTAAATGAGTTTTACTTAAAAATCCAACCGCCAGGAACGAAGGATTTCACCAGACCACTATGTCAAGACCTCAACGCCGCATGCACTGCATTGTCGAGGTCACCAATTGTGCAGCGTTGGTAGGGCACTACGTCGGTGCGAGTTCCTACATTCGGCAAAGCACTATTACTGACTCGCTCGCCATGCCTTTGCATCGAATAGGAACCGCGTGCTGAATTTAAGCGCAGCAAGTGGGAACGGCTGCGAGACGAGCTTGATCCAAAGCGAGCTTCATCGGGTGCAGACTTCCTCAACGTCCAGCCCCAGGTTTTGTGAGATATCATGCCGCGCTACCAATTGACTTCAGGCTGGTCATATTTCCTCCGATTACTTATTCTGTAACAAAAGGCTTGAACATGAGTCGGTTTCACATCAACGCCATGGAAATAATGTCGGGTGTCACCACGCCTCTACGTCACATACTGTTACATAGACTACGCGCCATTGCATACGTCACACGACAGGATAGCGTCTTTGAGGTCGTGATAACCAAGTGTCGCATCATCACTGCGATATGTTGGGCCCGAAAGATGAGGCAACGGGCGTCAGTAAGGTTATGTCTTATAGCTAACCACGCGGGATTGGATTGGTCCTTTTCAGCTGGATGCGGCTCTACTCTAGTCTGTCTCAGTATATAGACTTAACGCTTGATCCAGTCATCGCTTCCAGTTTGCGGAGGAGCTCATAAGTTCTAAATCTTGCTATAGGTATGATATTCCGTGGATGCATTCGTCGCATTTGACGAGAAGAAAAGCAGAAAACGGAAGCCGCCAGTGCATTTGGGTTGAGTCGTGCTGTCGTTTTTTGTAGTTCTGGAAGAAGTGAGCTGTGGCCTGACTTTTCCGCTGAGCCACCGCGTTTCTGCAAGCAAGCCCTCCCAATAACCCGGCGGACAGCAATCTTACCATACCGATCATTACAAACATAAATCGCTTGCGTATTGCTCATTTCAATGTACTACCGTACCGAGCGTTTGCTCTATGAATCTTAGTTTCGCATCTGAAAATCATAAAACAGCCTTTTGTCAACGACTTATATCAAACACGAAAGCTGGAGGCCTGCATTGGTTTGTGCTTCGCTATTCTGCTAAGACGAAAATATGCCAACACCTCCAGGACATGTTGTGAGTATGAAGACTTAGGAAATTGGAACTTCGTTGATTCAGTCCGATGCTCCGTGTGACGGGCTTTTACTCCGCGTCGAGCTCCATTGGGAAGGGATCGGCAGATCGTTGCTTAGGCGTCCTCTCTCCGCTATCATAAGCCAATGGCAAAGAAGTTGACAGCCGCTAGCGCCCCACCATCTAAACCTGGCACAGCCCTCATTTTGCTTTTACGATGGAAGGCTGCTGCCGGAATAATCTATCGAACTCCATGAATGTATGTTCAATGTTAAGTGATACGTAAGTTTTGTGTGCGAAGTAGGCTTCTCCACACTGTCACTTACAACACCCGAATGTCCGGAGAATCAGCCGTTATGCTGCGGAGGAACGGGAAGCTAAGGTTAGTCATTCCGACTGTCGCAATTGAGATGAGATGCGTTGTGGATGGGAACTAATGCTTCACTCACAGGTCATGCGAACCATGTCGCATTTCGAAAATCAAGTGCGACCATGCCACACCGACGTGCTCAAAGTGTCAAGCACGTGGGATGACAGAGCATTGCTTCTACCATCCGAACCCCATGACTAAGCCTGCTGGTACTCCACGCAAGAAGCCAGAACCACGTCGTCGGAGATTAGATGGGCATGCTTCATCGTCCAGCCAGGGGAGGCTGACGCCCCTGACACTGAGTCCACCAACATTGAGGAACGATGCTGGATTCGTCCCTTGGCCTACCCCTCCAGAATCTGCTACGAGAACAACACAAAGCGGACCCGACCCATCAAGGAACTTCTTTTTGGGTTCCACGAGTTATGCTGCTGTCTTCACAGAAGAGCAGCCCTTGCCAGAGACAGTGCATGAACAGCCATCTGAGAGACTGAGTATAACTCCTTCGGCGTCGAGTAGAGGTATGGGACATCGACACTGCCAATTTTCGCTTGGAGACACAATCGTGTCTACTCTCCAACCCTTCTCGTTTTTTGAAAGGTCTCTTGATATGTACTTTGCTATGCACAAGGACCCTGCTCTCGTTGGTCCACTTTTCCTCTCTGCAATGCCACAGCTGCGTAAAGACGTAGAACAGCTCCACGCTGCTGGTAGTCAGGTATATCCTCTATACGCGGAAATTACAAGGAACTCCGCTCGACCCATGAAGATCCCTTCGGATATGCGGCCATCGGAGTTTCACACGCTCTTCACAGGCAAGAACTTGAGATGGGACACGTTAGGCTTGATCCTGGCGATTGCCGGCTCTAATGCCCAATACACATCACCCAATGATCCTCTGTTCACGCTAGAAGACGGCAAGCAAATGAACAGAGAGGAGTTCATTGAAGACGTAATGCACGCAACCAACACATGCATCAACATCTGCGAAACACATGGCGCCGTGAATGAGCTCATGACATGTCTCATCTACATCAACATGATGGTAGTTAGTAGTTTTTATGGAGATAACCGTGCGTCGATCTATATTCTTGAGAGCTGCATCACAACGGCTGACACGTCTAGATCATGCCACATGGAGGCGTATGGGCGACAGTGTTTCTGCTCTCTACGCCGCAGGCATACATTGCGAAGCCTGTAATGGAGATGGTTCCAACGCAGAACCGTTCTTTATGCGCGAGTTCAGAAGACGACTCTACGCAGCCATATATCGCTCCGACAAAGCCCTAGCTGTGTTCTATGGACGACCTCCAATGATGGGTTGGAGGTATAGTGACCGCAAGATGTTATTGGACATTAGCGATCAGGCTGTGACTTCAGAGGATCCGGATGTACTGAATGCTGAGCTTTCGAAGCTAGACAGCGCAGGCTGGAACACAGAAGGGCATCTTCACCCTGCGACCTTCGGCAGAATGAGGTGTCAACTTGCTGTTTTCAAGGAGAGGCTGCTAGAGCAAACTTTGGCAGGTGAGAAGGATAGTGATGTGGTGCAGAACGTAGAGTACGTCCGACCCTTGAACTTTTCTCTACATTCGGCTAACACTATCAGAGCGATATCTGCTGAATGTACAGCATGGTGGAACGCATTGCCAACGCATCTGAGATACGACACCTACACGGAAGAGGCTGCCTGGGTAGGGCGTGGTCCTGGTCTAGCTATGCGACTAACCGCTTACTATCTGGACTACTTGCACGTCCATTTTCAAACGCAGCGTCTACTTCACCGGATCACGCAACAGGCGCTCCCAGCACTATTGGAGGTGTCGCTAAAGATACTCGTTACATCCCTTATATGTACCAAACCGCAAAATAGCGATTACGAAATTCGTCGCCACTTCCCCACTGTTATATTATTCTACTGCTCACCCGCCGCCGGTGTCCTAGCATTAGAGCTTCGAAGATGCACGATTGAAGGCGTACCATTGCCTGATACAATAACTCGAGCAGAGGTCATCCGAAATCTTTCCGTGCTAACTTCGTGTCTGGAATGGATAGTTCTTCCCGGCGACGGAAATCACAAACTGTGCAGCGAGCTCAACAAGATGCTTGCACTGGTGCTCGAGGAAGTCCTCAATTACGTGCCTCCAACGAATGGCGAGCAAGAACGGGGCGATGACGCTGCAGCTATGACTGGAGCGGGGCAAGGCTTCTTCGACATGCCTATGATTGAGGGTTTGGAACCTATACCAACTGAGAGTGAGGACTTTCTAAATTGGCTGGACAATGCAACGTGGAACAATACGGTAAGACAAACAAGTGTAAACATATTCAGGGCCTGCTAACTTGACCAGGACATATTCTAAGCGGGTCAAGGATACCACTTTGACCAGGAACTAGAAACGCGGTACATACTACAGAACGCCAGGCGCCTACATATACACGAAGCTGGATCCGATACTGAAAAAGCCTTCCATGGCTTCTTCGATGCTCCAGACGTATGCTATAAGCACACGCAATGCCCGATGTGTGGAACTTGACAACCATTATCTCGATAACCCCGATAACATCTCTCTCTCTCTCTCTCTCTCTCCCCAATACCAACAGCTGATCTAAAGGCCAGAGAAGTACGCCGCTCTTGCTGCAGCTCTCGCCTCGTTTTCTTCCGTCTCCTTCCGCGTTTGGTTACTTGATTGCGACGTCGCTTCAAATGCTGCTGTCAGCGTTGACTGGCTTTTCCAAGTCTAGCAGGGTGTGTCAACGTACAATTCAGGTTCAACATCTTCTTGAGGATACTCTTTGATGTTGACTTCGTTGAAAACATGGAGTTCGCATCGGATGATGTGTATGGTGGTGGTGCAGTGATGGAGTAGCGTGGCAGATCGGTAGGAGAGGTCTTGTTAGAGGGAGAAGACATTGTGGTGATGGACGTTCTGAGGGGATCTTGTAATTGGATGATGTTTCGATGGTACTTCAAGTTGATGGAAAGAGTTGAGGCAGTTGTGCTACGGCGATGCTCTGCTTCTGCTCTCTTGTAGCTGGTTTGACTCCTCTATCAATGTCCCACAAACCATCTTATATACAAAATCATCACATCACCACCGATCAAGCAACATACCCTGCTTAGGCTCGTCATTGCCCTTTTCCTGCCTCGTGCATTGTCGGAATGGAGATTGACCGCTCATAATCCAGTGTGAACCACGAATTCCATACCAGAAAATATCCCTGCATGGTTCGGAGTTGCTAATCGACGGTCGTAGTAAGCGGATGCACACTCATCATGGTATCATGCCTAGGCAGCAACGTTAGGCGCCCAATGCCGAAGCCACAGCCCTACAAGCATTGCATGCAGGAGGCACGATATACGCGTCAAGCTTATTTTCAAAGGCTAAATTTTTGTTCCAGACGCGACAATTGTTTCGTTGTTCATTGCATGTGCCGATGTGGCTGGATGAGCGTGATGTATAATGTTCGGAATTGAAAATCTATGCCGGTGAAGATTAAACCTAAAGAGGGGTAAGTCTTCATGCTTACCATTATGCCGATATGAAGGGCGCTAGCTAGACGCATGGATACTGTGAAGGGCGTCTGTTGCGAGATGAGACAGGTTTGCGCATGCAGATGCTCGACCTTATTCCGAGTGTGCAGGAAATGTGATGGGGGTGTGGAAGGGCGCTGTTGTTACCGTCCAGTCCTAGTTCCGACCCTATGGTCTAGAACAAACAACAGATAATACAAGTAATAGAGATTAAGCAGTCGTCATTTCCAGAGATACCTAAGTATTTACATGAAGCTTAATAGGTCTACCGTCCGCTGCCATCAAGCTGATCAGACGCACTGTGAATAATAGTCACCTCCAGCCTTGCAGGTAAGTCCTGAAGCACCTATGAATCGTCAGTACAAGCCTGTCCTCGCACACCCGAATTAGGCCGACTTACAGGTTTTGCATCCACTGTATCCATTTCCGCCGCACTGACCGTACTTTGCAACTGAGCATGCTCCAGCACCACCTCCACTCGTTGGCACAGCGGCAGCAGATGTGGCTACTGCAGATGTCTTCATCGTGGTTGCTGTAGATGTGGCAACCGGAGCTCCACCAGTAGCAGTCACAGCGGATCCAGCGGATCCAGCAACGGCTTCAGTACCACCTGCGATGACTGCCGGACCGGGGGCGACATACGATGCGAGGTTCTGGTAGATGTTGATCTGGATGCCAGGGTCGGTAGCTTTGTATGCTCCGGGGAAAGCCACACCAGCAGGCGAAGACGAACCACCACCAGTCACAGTGATTTGGTAGCAGGTAATGTAGAATTGAGCGCCGCCAGCACCAGATGCAGCATGCAACGCAATGGCTTCCGCTCTTAGCAGATAGTCTCCTGGGGCCAGATCTGTAGGGATCTTCACGTCCATCTTTCCGCAGTTTTTGTTCAGGTCCTTCGTACCCCAATAATCGTCCGAGCCGCCGCCGCCAGCAGTGTTCTTCGCCCATGTATCCTGGAAGACCTTGAAGAACGGAGTGGAGCCATCAGCTGTGGATGCATCTGCGACTTTGGACATATAGACAAGCACAGGGCCGTAGTGGGCACCACCAATGGCCTCGTTCGCGCAAGACCGATCGCCGTTCTGCTGATGCATCTCAACAGTTACAGTGCCACCGGCAGGGACACTGCATTTTGAGGCTGCTGGTCCGTGGTTGGCGTTGCAACGGATGTCGTTACTTGCTACCGATGTGACGGGGCTGTTACTGTTGGGAAGCCTGGCGCAAGTCGACTGGTGAATGGGTGTTAGTGGCATCGTATTATGGGTTGGGTATGCTTATCTGATCTTTGCCGTTGACCCAAAGGTCTTGGAATGTCGCATGAGACGCTGCCTGTGTTGCAAAGGCAACAACGCTGGTCAAGATGATCGCGCTCTTCATCGTTGAAATTATCGACAGTAGTCGGTTGACTGAAGAAAGACAATGGTCGATTCTTACTGGGCTGGCATCGAAATGGTCTCGTACCTACCACCTCTTTATACTCGTTTCTCGATTCCTCAAAGGCTGGACATCATGCTCGCTTGCAGACGAAGTCCAGCCCGTGGATCAGATCCGTGCTGCTAAACCCAAAACGTATATCTGTAGAGTATGGCACCGTCGTCTGACTTAAGATTATATGAAAGTAAAGCTTGTCGTTGCCGAAACCCGGGTTCTGTTTTCCACGTGTAACGTCCTATGGCTAGGGTGGATATTAACCAGACCGCAGAACCCGGTCACTTATTGGTGACCACATGGCAACCTGGCCATGGATTCGCTCTAGAGGTATGCCTTTGTGTGTGTCGTGCAGGGCTGCTTGTATATAATGCGTGCACTAGGAACCACCGGATAAAGCTCACATGAGCTTGATCGGGTGCAAACCTTCTAGAAAAGCTGAAGAACTCATTGTTGCACCTCTGTGAGCTGCAACGAGGACCTGTCTAATCTTACCTACGTAGCTGTACTTGTTGACGACGAGCGACGACAGGAGGCGCGCAATTCTAGAATCTCAAGCTGCTGAAAAAGCGTGCACTGTCAATGAGCCTTACTGGGTATCGTGACCCAGTGCCATCGGGCGACTCGACCAGGTCTTAGGGCGAAGAGTTATCGAAAGCAATCTGTTTAGATGAGATTCGGGAAGCGACATGTGCCGCGTGTGCGCCTTCCCCAGATCTGGTCTCTCGGCGAGAAAGCTTGTTTCCTGCATCTCCTAGCACAGCATCGGGAGAATGCAGGCCCTTGGGTTTAGATGAATGAACCATGCGAGAAGTCGCATAGCTCAACCGATGGGTCGGCATGCACGGAGGTGTTGGCCGGTGACGTTGTTGGGGCGGGCTAGCGCGTCAAGGCAGGGGCGCACATGCCGCACAGGAACTTCCCGTCGTTCCTTCACCAACTTCAGTCTGTCACGACGGCCTTTGATGGCGCTCAAGACAGATATTCTCATTACAAACACCATCTCTAGCTCTTAGACTTCACGTTTGATACCCGCACTGCCGTTCACAGTCCTGGTCATTGACTCAGGCCTTAATAGCCAACATAAGGGTAGCAGAGTGTTATCATCCATCAACTCTTTGTCCCCCTGGATTGACGCCGTATCAATTACTAAGCATACCATCAACCGAAACATAAGTCTTTCAAACAACTGCGACGAAGCCGGCTGCGGCATTATTGGAATGTGTTTGAAATGCACTCAACAGACAGCAAACCTTTACTTCACACAACGTCAATCGCAGTTCAGTATAAGTTTTGCCATACTGTATGTGTTTTCAGCTATGTTTGAGCTCTCGTAGACCGAACGCTTCCATTTATCGAGCTTTCCATATCCCAATCTGTTGACTACGTATACTTTGCCTTCTTGGTATGTCAATCTATTCGAGCAATTCGGTTATCTTTGACACGTCGTTGTTGCAAACTTACATACTCTGTGTGTGCCTAGGTAAGTTCACCGTTACAACATCAGTCTCTTTTCCCAAGCTACCCGTTTGTCTGATTTTACGCCTCGTCATCCTCCCCACCCATCATCTTTCTCACCGTCAGACCTCTCGCTTCTTCCCACAGGCAGCACACGCGCAGCTCGTCAACAACCACCGAATTAGCAAACACCCACCCTCACCTTCACCTCCCCCTCCCACTAGTACATTTGTATATCCTTCCCGCTCTCCTTCACATAAACCATGTGATTCTACAATTCCTCTCGCTATATAAGCCTTGATTCAGCACAGTTCTCCCATCAATGAGGCTGGAATGCCCTTGGTCGGCCGGCGACCTGTATCTTCCAGTCTGAATGGGGTCGCTACCCATTCAGACTGGAAGACGCAGGTTCGAGTCGTGATAAAATCGCCTCTGCATCTTCTAAGGTTTAGTCTTGGGTGGCATCTTCGGAGCATTCAAGATTTCACCTTAGGACTTGTAGCGGGGGTTTTCGGCAGGAACTTAATACATTAAGGGTGACTGTTCTTTTTGCTCTTGCTGAGATCAGTTTTTTGGTGCTATCCTGTAGATTCTTTTCCCTGTAGCCTTACAGTGAAGATTTATGCTAACACAGGAAGAGCGATATAATACTGCCAAGTAACTCTGGGGAGTGGCGTATCCTCAGGATATCTCACTTGGCTTATCAACTCTTTGCATAGGCAACGTCTATTAAATAAAACATAAGTAGTGCGACCTTATTTGTGAGAAGAGTACAAGAACATTAGCAGGAGTGAAGAGAGATTTGTAGAGATATCACAAATAGGACTGGCGTCACAACATCTACAAATTTACTTAGAAAATAGCACAGAGCTTGTTATTACGCTAAAGGACTCTGATGCAAAGTGTTAGAAGACAGGAAACGTAGATTCGTTAGCTGTTTAAGTGTCGGGAGGTGTCACACAGGCAGCGCTTCGACTGCATCCAAACGAGCGCACGCAGATAAGATGAAAGTACAGAGAGGATACAGAGTTTGTCTGGCATGAACCATGCAAAGGCTTGATTCTTAATATTCAGTAGCATTTCATTGTGCTATTCATACATCTGCTCGGTGTCTTGAAATCATCATATTCGTGAAGATACCCCACCCTCGATCTGCCTACCACACCTTCTTAGTCCCGCTTGAGCGGGGTGAAGGTCTCGGCTATGCCCTCCTTCGTGATGATCATCATCTGAAGGCCATCACCAACCTCGATATGCCTCTCGACCGCGCTTGTAAAGGCGTCCCGTACCAGATCCTCGACGTGGTCCCGTGGTAGCGGTTGTGCTTGCTTTGACTTGAGTTCGTGACCAGTGCCGCTGCCTGGCTCGTACATGTTCTTGAAGTTGACTTGGTTGTCCAAGAAGGGCATGATAAGTGATGCCGCAGCACCAGCCGCCCTACACTGCTCCCTCTCGTAGCTGCCGACCGGGTCGTAGGAGTACAACGCACCCTTGCCCTCCTCGTCCAGACCGGCTAAGATGGCGTGTACGTAGTAGGGAAAGAATCGCTTGTTGTAGAGGATGTGGCTGAGTCGTTGTGCGCAGGCAGAGACGGTCATGGGCTTTCCGTGCTGGTACTTGTACATCTTGACAATGGTGTCGAGACGCTCCTTCAACGCATCACCGTCTGCGGCGAAGCCGACTACAGACAGTACTATCCGGGCGCCCTTGTTGTCTGGTCCTTCGCCGCCAATCTTAAAGAGCTTGGGTGCGTATCGTGTGTTGATGTTGTAGCCGGATGTCGAACGTGTGTCACCTGCTAGGATGGCGAAGTCGGCGCCGGAGATGCCTAGTGTTGATCCGCCGTTGTCGGTGTAGCTGGATCTTGTTAGGTTTGCATGTACTCAGTATGAAAGCTGCACATACGGGTAGAAACCATGTTGCCGCTCGCCTGATGGGACAGTTCTGGGGGTCTGGTTGAACGAATAGCCTGGGCCACCTTGCGGGGGTGCACCGGTGTAGAGCGCAGCCATTGTTGAGTTGTACAGACGTGGATTCGAAGTAGGCTGTAGGAAGTCTTGTCGATATCGGAGGGTTGTGGGTTATGGCGGCGGATCTGTTTGTTGGTGTTGAAGCTCTGGAGTTACGCAGCTCGAATGCCTGGAGCTTCCACGCGCTAGTGTCTTGGCGCTGATGTAGTGAGAGCATACCCTCCAGACCGCGTTGAAGCATACGCATAATTGATTTCAGTCCATGTTTTGTAATCTATTAACTAGACCTCAAACGTGATATGGGAGCTGTAACCAGCATTACTATGCCATTGCGCTACTGAACTCTGCTGCTAATGTACAATCGTCTCCATCACCTTCTTTCTCTAGACCTCGACCGCCTTCTCTTTGGAGATCTCGACCCGCTCTCCAACTTGCTCCTTGAACTCTGATCATCCTTTCCTCTGTGTTCCAACTCCTTGCGTTTTCCCGTGGTAGAGCTCGACGCGTTCTTAGACGCGGAGACGAACTCGAGAGCTTCTCTTGGTGCCTTGGATCTTTCCTGCTCTCTGGTCTTCGAAATCCGCTTCTGTGAGGCTTTCAGTTCCTCGACGTAGGCCCACTCTGGAAAGACTGCCGGTATGGCGACATCTTCTGGTAGTGTGGATGTATATGAGTCTTGTTCGCTAATCCCCGCAAAGTCCATCAACTTCTGCATATGCCCCGGATCGCGTAGCACTGACGAGGTTTCTAGGCGCTGGTTGAAGTGTTGTCCCTTCTTTTTAAGTTCGAGGAACTGCGCAAACTTCTTCGTCGCTCTCTGAGGTGGTGATCCGGGCGGAGAAGGTGGTATGTCGAAATTGGGTACGGTGGGTAAAGTAAGGTTCTGAATCAGAGCGCGTGTGTTGGCGTACGTTGAGCCTGGCGCGGCGTCGTTCGAGGGGACATCTTCCTCTGGAGGTGGCGAAACGGTCGGGCCTTGGGCGGGACCTTGAGCAGGACCATTCACTGGACCTGAGGAGGTAGGCGGTTGTTCGAGAGGCGCGGGAGCGGAAAGAGGTTCTGGAGCCGGCGCAACTGCTGCAGAAATGTTGGTCAACTCTATATTAGTAGCCACAAGAGCCCTTGGTGTACGTTTGTGAGTCTCACCTCTGGCTGAGTCGCGGGCACGACGTCCTCCTCGTCACTATCTGGGTAGTCGATTCCGAGCATTTTGGTTGCGCAATGCTTGCAGACGATCATCTCGGATTGACCTCAGTATGCGGAAGCTTGGGCCAACTCGCTGTCTTGGCGGGTGAGCTGCGCAACCACCGACTGCCTGGGAACATCGTAACAACAACCTCACCCTTGAGCTCACTACAACATATCACCCTCTCTGATTCCTGAACAAATCCCCCTCTCTAAACCGCCGTTTCAGTCACCACCGTTACCATGAACCATCTTCCACAAGCTTGGGGTCGTGTATGTCTTCCGCCCGCCGCCTCAAACAGCAACAGTACTAATACATCATAGCCTAGAGACGATGTATACGGCGCCTATGATCCTTCACATTTCTCGTCTGCCGGCCCGAACCAGCACACTCAGAGCCCGATCGTGACGGGTACCTCGGTACTTGCAGCCAAGTTCAAGGACGGCGTAGTCATTGCCGCAGACAATCTGGGTATGGCACAACACAACTGGTAGTGAGGTTCTGGCTGACAAACGACCACAGCTTCATATGGCTCCCTTGCTCGCTTCACTGACGTCAAGCGCCTACGAAAGTTCAATGACGAGGTAGTCGTAGGCTTCGGCGGCGATGTTTCGGACATGCAGTACCTGGACCGCCTACTCAACTCGCTCGACATCCGCGAGAACTACTCCTCTTCTGAGAACTCGCTGAATGCCAAGAACCTCCATACCTACCTCGCCAAAGTCATGTACAACCGTCGCTCAAAGTTCGACCCATTGTGGAACCACCTACTCATCGTGGGCATGGACGGCGATAAGAAGCCCTTCCTTGCAAGCGCAGACCTTCTCGGTACCACCTTTTCATCACCATCGCTGGCCACTGGCTTCGGTGCACATCTCGCTCAGCCAATCCTAAGGACAATACTACCAGATGAGGCCGCTGTAGAAAACGTCACACGGGAACAAGCAGTAGAGAAGGTCAAGGAGTGCATGAAGGTTCTCTTCTACAGAGATGCTAGGAGTATGGACAAGTACTCGATTGCCGTCATCACAAAGGACGGCGTTGATCTCGACGAGAACGTGAAGCTGGAGAACCAGAGCTGGGCATTCGCCGACAGGATCAGGGGATACGGCACCCAGGTTGTGTAGAGAGGCGTATAGGGAAAGGCCGGACATTACGATCAAAAGCCTCTGCTCATCGAGTAGCTGAGGCCTGAATGATAGACATGAATGAATGTACCAATAGCGGTATGGATTGTCCAAGCCCCCTGTTTCTGGCATGGTGCGTGTTCGTGCATTATTACCATTTTCGGCCTCTAAGACTCCACGCACAACGGTGCTCAGAAGGACCAACGAGGTTAGAGCTTCGTAAGCTAGAGCGGGGAAGCTCCGCTTACGAACAGCAAGCCTTATGATCAGCATCTTGGTCATGGGATCTGTTGTCCTTTGCTTGCAAACTTACAGACAGTTCCGTCATACCACAGCTACAATTTTATCTGACACCTCGTGTTCTCCTGCACAATGCCCTCTCCACCAAAGAAGAGGATAGTATTTACGGGCGGTTCTGGAGTCGCCGGACGTCATGTAATTGAGAAGTTGCTTAGCTTCGGCCATGAGATACTCAACGTGGATGCGACACCTCTAGACAATCCCAATGTACATACTTTGAAGGCCGATCTTACAGACGGCGCGCAAGCTTTCAACAGCCTGTCTTGTCACTTCAAGATCAGCGAACCCTTCATGGAGCCAGTCAAAACACCGGATGCCGTCGTACATTTTGCTGGTACGTAACCACCAATGCCTATTACGAAGAGATGGATACACAGAAAGTCGTGAACGGATGCCAAACCATACCGCCAATACGGACCTAACATGCAACCCCTAGGTATCCCCCAACCCATGCGCCTCCCCGACAACGAAACCTACCGCACCAACACCCTCAGCTCCTACAACATCCTCGAATCCGCCTGTAAGCTCGGCATCCGCAAGATAATCCTCGCCTCCAGCCTCACCACCTATGGCGTCACCTATGCCGAAGGCTCCACATCCTACGCCCACTTCCCTATCACAGAGTCCACACCAACAACCCCCATGGACGTCTACGCCACTAGTAAACTCTGCATGGAAACTACCGCCGCGTCATTCGCACGCCGGTTTCCTGGTGTAGATATTTACTGTTTGCGCATCTCAGCTGTTATCGAACCGGAGAATCATATAAAGAAGTTTGAAGCATATTTAACCCGGCCACAGGATTTCAAAGTGCATGCGTGGAGTTATACCGATGCGAGGGATTTGGGCAATATGGTACACTGTTGTTTACAGACGGATGGGCTGGGGTACCAGGTTTTCAATGCGGTGAATGATGACATTACTATCCCGGAGACGGAGGGCACGAGCGAGGATTGGTTAAGGAAGGTTTGTCCCGAGACGGAGATTCTGACAAGAATGGGAGAGAAGGAGAGTCCGGTTTCTAATAAGAAGATGAAGGATATGTTAGGATTTAGGGAGGAGTTTGGGTGGCGGCAGGTTTTGGGTAGAGAGGGGTAGGTTTGTAGTAGTTGGGCATACTCCGTACCAATGCTGTTTATTAATGCAAAGCACCAAGAATACCGGAAAGTTCGGAATCTCTTAGTTGTACCTATAATGTACTCCGAAGTCACTCGCTGCGCTGGATACTACAAAAGCACAACGTGAACACCGGTGAACATCTCAAGGTAAATCTTGCTGCAAGGTATGGCTAGAAGGTACCAGCTTTCTCAGACTTTGCAAAGGCCGTTTCGAAAGCTTGTGGAAGTTTGAACATTATACTACATTAAAATGTTATACGAATCTCAAACACTACATGTGCTTTTCATGTATTAGGCCTTTCCCTCACCCTTCTTCTTTCCACCGAGCATCTTCTTAGCCTTCCCAACACCATTGCCTACCATCCCAAATCCGAACTTCCATCCCTTGATTCGAATGGACCAGACGAAGAAGTAAACAAGCGCCCAGTTGCTAATGCAAAAGGCAAGGAAGATACCAAAGTCGCGCCACTTGTCGCTGGCTTTGACATTGATGGTAGCCAGGTAGTCGTCTCCAACAGAGTAAGGACAGTACTGGCAACCACTTGTGGCTTCAGGGTTTAGCAGGTAGCCAGGGGAGGCGGAAGCGAAGGCGCCGGCGTAAGAGGAACAGCTTTGGCCTGGTGGTGCATCGAAGATGGCAGTCTCACTCTCCTGGCACTGAACAGGAATGCCAGTCAGCGTGGCAGAGAGTACACCACCAATCCAGTACGTTGAAGGATTTACGTAATACATCTGTGGTGTACAAGATTAGTGTGCGCCTCACGCGTGGGTCGTACGGGGATGTTACTTACCCAATATCTCCAGAACACTGGCATCATCTCGTACGGTCGTACAACACCGTTGAACAAACCGAACATGACAAAGAAGAAAGGCAAAACGTTCGAGATGACAGTAAAGGACGGCGCGAACGCACAAATCCACTGACCCCAACTGGAGATGAACAAGAAGAACAACATGGTCATCAGGAAAACGTATCCAGAAGTCGAGCTATCGGTCGGTAATCCAGTCGGGAAGTACCACAAAACCCAGTATAGCACACTTGACACAATGGCGATGGGGATCTCAGCAACAACTTGCGCAGTCGTAAAAGCAACCCAGCCGTAGATACGGGAAGGAAGTTCACGCGCTTGCCACAGGGCCATGTTCTGGTAGAATTTGGGTACGACAGCGTTGACGATGGTGGGCGGGATGAGGATAATAAGGAAAGCAGTGAACATGCGGTTTTGGAGGTCGCCGATGGAGTTGCCGAGTTGCCAGAAGGTAAAACCGTTGAAGATGCCGATGATGACTGCGACGAAGAGTTTGCCGTAGAGGTAAGACGGGTCGCGCCAGTACTGGATGAATGTGCGCTTGGTGAGCATGGTGGTTTGCTCCCAGACGCTCGCCGCGAACTCGGACTCCTCAGCTCCACCATCTTGATTCTGGTCGGAGATCTTGCTACGCTCCGTCTTCACGCGGTCGATCTCCTGGAGCATCTGCTTGTTGTTGTCGGAATTGAGCCACTCTTCGTTCCAGTTGATTTTGCTGCCGTCCTTGCGCTTGACAGGCTTCGCAGCAGTTTCTAGGATGAACTCTGCCACGTTCTTACTGGGTGGGCACTGTACACCACGGTCGCCAAAGTACTTGATAACATCGCGCCCATTCTCGCCTACTGGGCCGAAGTAAAACGTGTTGCCACCTGGGTTGAGGGCGAGAATCATGTCGAATTGCTGGATCAGAACGCTGCTAGGTTGGTGGATGGTGCAGACAATAGCCTGACCTGCCTGAGCAAGCTTTTTGAGGAACTGAACAATGGAGTATGCCGAGTTGCTGTCAAGACCACTGGTTGGCTCGTCTAGAAACAGTAGCAAAGAAGGCTTCGCAGCAAGTTCAACACCGATCGTAAGACGCTTCTTCTGCTCCACGCCTAGGCTAGAAACTAGTGCGTCTTGGATGTCTTGCAGCTCGAGGAGGTCGATGATCTTGTTAACGTAGTCGAGCTTCTCCTTCCTCGGTGTGCTCTTGTCTTGACGAAGGATGGCAGAGAACTCCAGAGCTTCACGGATCGTAGCAGTGCCGTCGTGAAGATCCATTTGCTCACAGAACCCGGTGCCTCTCTGGAAAGCCTTGCCAAGATCCTTACCATCCACCAAGAACTCACCCGAAACGACACCAGTAGATTGTCGCTGCGAAAGCGTGTTGAGCAGGGTCGACTTACCAGCACCGGAGGCACCAACAAGAGCGATCATGACACCAGGCTTTGCGTACCCATTAACCTTGTTCAGAAGCTTGCGTTCACCTCCCTGGTATGGGACAGTGTACTCAACATCCTTCCAGGTGAAGACACTCTCACTGCTCGAAATAGACTCCAACGCTTCTTCCTCTTCATGAGCAGCAGTGTGTGAGCTTGAGGCGGACTCGCCAGCGGCTATCTTCTCCTCATCAGCAGGAGCCTCCTCCTTGACCGCTTGCTTAGCCCGCTTGTTCTTGGCAAAAACCAACGCACCGCCACCTGAGGCTGCGAAGGATACAGTCTCGGTTGCGATCACGGTCACCAGAAGGTAGAGCACCGAGAAAGCTATCACGACACCAAAGTTGCGCCAGAGGTTCGACCTCGAATAGTTGAAAGATACCTGGAGGTAGTCTGAACCAGGGACGGTGTTAGAATTTGGCGGTGCACCAGTCAAGCTGCAGCCCTGGTATGCAGGATCGATGCCAGGTCCTTGGGGTACCAGTTGGCTGGGCGCGCACTCCATAACACGGTCGGAGAATTCGTTGGCGAGCACTGACTCGAAAGAATACGCGACTGGATTAATCCAATAGATCCATCCGAACCAGATGTAATCAGTCAGAAGCTGTGGCTTCGGAATAACGTAACCGGTGTATATGATCAAGAGGTTGAGCGCGATACCAGCAAAGCGTACAGCGTCGTCAATCGATGGAGAGAGGGCGGCAAACATGCGGTAAAGACTTGTAATGCAGAAGGTCGTAGTATAGATGAACAGGAAGTAGATGAAAAACTTGGATACGTCGACGTCGAGACCAGTCATGAAGTACATGATGATGGCTAAAGATGTCAGCTGGGTTCACGTTTCACACGTTTTTGCTAGGTGTGACTTACAGAATGGAATGACCTGCGCCAACAAAAGCGGGAAGTCTTGTACCACACGCGCAATAGCCACAGCACTTGGGCGATAGAATGCGTAATCTTCATGTCTCTTGACGACATTGCGACCAGAAACGGCCTTCATAAGCTCCGAAAGCTGGAGCCATCCGAGGAAGAGAATGGAGAAGAAACCGGAGCCACCTCGCGAAAAAGCGCCCGAGGTATCGAGAGATTGACCGTAGAATAGCGAACCGACGATGAGACCGTTTGAGATGATGATGACTTGATGATAGCGTTAGCAAGATGGTCCAAGATGATAGAGACGATGGATTGTCCATCAATACGTTTGTAAAACTTACAGAACTTGGTGTACAGCGTAGTCTGGTCGCCCCAAGTGAGCCAGAACTCACGCTGAGTACAGGCTATAACCTGTCGAATGAACGAGACCGTGTACGGACTCTTCTTGCGGACCGTTTTACTCTTGCTCTCGCGTACGGCACCCTCGAACTCTTTGGCGTCCACGTAGCCACTGGCCTCGAGCTCAGCCTCGTATTCGGAGATCTCTCTCAATACCTTCTTGTATGCGTCACTCTCCCTGAAAGCCCTTTCTAATTCCTCAGATGTCTTCGGTGCTTTGTCTTCAAAACCGGGGCGGAATTGCCGCTCGGTGGGATCAGTAACGGCGGTCAGGAAATCAGCGGTAGTCTGACGTTCCGGGCACTTGAATCCAAGGTCCTCAAAGTACTGCTTGGCTTCGTTTGCAGGTCCCTGATAGATACATCGACCTGCATCGATAACCATGACTTTGTCCATGACCTCGTAGATCTGTTCACCAGCTTGGTAAAGGGTTACTAGCGTAGTTCGATTGCTGATATCGGTCATGATACGCAGCGATTTAGCGTAGTCGAGCGCGGTACTAGCGTCAAGACCGCGAGTACTGTTATCCCAGCAATTGACCGAACTCTTGGTGGCGAGAGTCTCGGCAATGGAGACGCGCTTGCGTTCACCTCCACTGACACCACGGACGTATTCATCTCCGACTTTAGTATACTTCGTGTGGGATATACCAAAGACCTTTAGGAGGGCTTCAAGGATGATGGGAATCTGTAGTATACAACGTCAGTATCTGTCCCGCATAGGAGCTTGCATACTTGACACTGACCTCGTGCTTCTCGTTCTTCTTGGTCTTGTTGGTGAGAGCAAATTTGAGCGTTTGCCACACGTTGAGATCGGCCATGTGGGAATCGTCTTCGGGGTTGTAGTTGACTTCGCCACGGAACTGCTTCTTTTGCTTGCCGGCTGGGATACCTCCATAGGACACATCGCCTTCCACAGCGGCGTAGGATTCGCGATTGTTGGATATGGCTTTCAGGAATGTCGAACATCCGGATCCGGGTCTGATACACTCGGTCAGCACTCGCCGAGCATATTGTTTGGAATACTGCTTACCGTCCCAAAACAAGCATCATCTCACCGTCTTTGACTACACCTGAGAAGTCATGGATGAGTGTCCTCATCTGTTTGTGCCTGCCAAGCTTCAACGCAGGTACAAAGCCCGTAACGATTTTGTAAAGGTCAGGCCCGAATGTTCCTAGTATCGCATCGGGCAGCGTCCTTGCGAACGAAGCGGTCGATCCTACACCCTTGACGGTAAGGTTCTTGTAGATGACACCGACTTTCTTTGCTGATTGACCGTCCTTGCGCTTCTCGAAATGGCCCTCGCGCATGAATTCATCGAGTTCGAAGTCGTCTTCTTTCTCTGCCGGCGCAGCAGCGGCACCAATATCCCCCGGCTCATCGTCTTCTGCGTCGCCTGTACCCTCCTCTGCGCGTGTAATTGATCCCCGAGGGTGACTCTGACTCTGACGGCCGCTGACCCTGCTCACGGTCCTGGAAAGCGGGTTTGATCGTTGCGATTGCGCGCCCCGGGAACGCGAATTTGAAAGAGACGCGAGTTCGCCTCGCAGAACCTCGAGATCCTCTGCTGCAGCCCGTGTGTCCAGTTTCCCTGCGTCTCTCTCACCCCAGGTACCAGCACGCTTCAGGCCCTCGCGATCTGAGCTATCTTCTTCACTCTGGTTGTCCGGTGTTACCACCTCTTCCCTTCCATCACGAAGATAGTCGTCCTCATGCCATGGGTTGCGTCGATTGTCTCGATCGGGTGGGATTGCGGATCCCCACATGTTGCAAATGAAAGTTTAGGGTATCAAACAGGTGTACTGGAAGAAAAACAGAGCAGGAAAAGAGTCTGAAGAGCAACAACAGCAGGAGACAGGATGTTTGTCGTACAAGTACGGCTCAATTGGTCTTTATTAAGCGGTCACCGGTAGAGCCAGGAGAATACTGGGGGTGCTTTTGCCAACGGGGATACGAGGCCAAAATTTAGAGTTGACAAACCGCTTGGGCAGGAGACAACGGAGATAAAGCACAACCATGTCGTCATCTTTGAGATTTGATGAATGATTGACGTGCCTTGCCGAGAAGCTAGACTAAGCTAAACTTGCGAAGCGCATCCACCCAGCTCGCGATGCCAAATATGGCCGAAACGGGTGGGCATCCAACACTTTTTTTTCGCATTACCAATCATTCCTTCCGCAGAAGATCTCATTCGCTTTACCCACTTGGGCAGATGTCCCTGCATATCGAGTCCACAGCACGAGTCGCAGCTCACTCGTGTAAGGTGGACCTTTGCGAATACCTGACACGCGTGTGTAGGTTGCAGGCAGGCGGCCTGTTTTCACAATCGGTGATCGCTAGTTTCCCATGTTCGTCTGTGTGATGCAGTCTGCATTGACGTCGGGTTCCGCGGAGCTAAGACCCTCCCTGATGTCGATCCCGCCAAGGCTTGTAAAGTCCGATGCTGTTCGGAGGTACATATGTCAGTCGGTTGCATTACGAGCGCGGCCGGGTGCATTGCCGTGTCGCCTATATGGTCTGCTTAGAAAACGTATATATGCTTGCAGCGTACGCGACTCCTCCAAAGGTTGTACATAGGCTTACAGAGTACACATGCGCTTAGAAATGCATACAAGGATATGTAGAGTTTAGAGAGCCATAACGATCCGCGTACCCCACCACCCGTCCATTCCCTACCTACATTGTAGTACAGTTGTACGAAAGCAATGATTATGAATTCATGTATGCTTAGAAATAGACGGACGGCTGACCATTCTGTGGAGATCAATAATGTTCAGATAACTGCTTTTTGTGATTATCGTCGTAGGATTTCATCAGGAACGTGATAAAAACCCCAGGAAGTGTCCAATAGGAATCAATTCTATCTAAAGGGGTATCCGCTTTCGGTTGAACATGAAGTACTCCGCTCTACAGTCTTGTACCGTTGTGTATAAGACTCCTAGAGTTTGGGTCCTTCTAGTCATGGCTTCTTCTCAATAAGCTGGGGAATGTCTTCGGGCTTGTTCTTGCCTTCCAGAATGTTGTAGACAGCGGTGAAGAGCGGGAAGTCGGCCTCCATTCCCTCTGCCTTCAAGAACTCGTTGACCTCGTAGGCAGTGCTGGTACCCTGGAGCTTCTGGCCATTGAGCTCAGACTGCTCGATCTCATAGATGGTCTTGCCACGGGCGACAGACATCTTTGCACAGCGGAAGTTGCGACCACCCGAGCATGAAGTGATGACGTCGGCGACACCACAGCTTTCTTCAGTAAAGGTGCTTGTGCGAGCACTGTCCCCGAAGAAAGCCTTGCCGAACTTGACCATCTCCAAGATACCAACACGCATTACAGCTGCCTTGGCGTTGTCTCCCCAGCCCAGACCATCCACAAAGCCTGCTGCAAGCGCGATGATGTTCTTCAGCGCTCCGCCCAGTGAGACACCAGCGACGTCGTTGACGATATGTACATGAAAGTAGGGACGGTGGAAGAGCCTCCGGACGTTCTCGTGCGACAGAGGTGGGTACTCGTTGGGGAGAGCAGTCAAATGCGCTGAGCGCTTGCTAGGTTTCTTTTTGCTCGGATCGATAAGGTCCACGTGAGCAGTAAGATCAGTCTGTGAGGCATTGGGCGAACCGCTGGGGGTAGGATTGCGCGAGTCCATCGGTGGCGGGTCATATGCTACAGTCGTCTCCGAGTACTTCTCTTGAGCGATCTCAGAAGCAATGTTCGCTCCTGATAAAGCACCACAGTAGATGTTGAGAGTCATGCCAATTGTCTCTGACATGAGCCTGATGCCCTTCTCACTGACGTCCACGCCCTTTGTGCAGCAGATAGCTCGTGCGTAAGGGAGAATCTTGCCGACCAGCTGCTGGCTCGACCGCGCAATGAATTGATGCGGGAGTACGAAGATGAGCATCGTAGAGTCCTTGCAGGAATCGGGTAGGTCGGGGTTGGCGACCACATTCGAAGGAAGCGTGATGTTCGGGAGGTATTTGACGTTCTCGTGAACCCTGTTGATGAGTTGCGACAGCTTCTCAGGCTTGTCGGAGCCGCTGTAGTGAGGCGAATCTTTCGGGATGGTGTACTCCTCCTCAAACACCCACATCTGCACAGTCTCTTCAAACAGGGATGGGTTCTCCTTCACGTTCTCGGCGACTAGTTTGGCCATTGTGGTGCCCCTGTACCAGTCAGCTCTTGATCTCAGCAGCCGTCCATAGCCCCATCTTCTCCAACGAGCTGCTGCAGCCACCTACCAGTTGCCGGAGCCAACTATGGTCACCTTGTGCTTGCGTCCAGCACTGAGAGTCGCCATTGTCCTTGATGTATGTCTTGTTCTTTGCAGGTTCGTAATGTATGGTGTGTTGATGGGTACTGCAACTCGCTTGCGCAGATTTTGGAGTAGGCGATACGGAGTGACGTATTGCGTAGGGGAGTGTGACGCGAGCGCAAGAAACCTTGAGACCGCCACTTTTTTATATGTTTATGATGTCTGGATGCGGTCAGTAAAAGTCCCCATTTGCTCGGGCTGCGACTTTCACACCTGCTGTCTCGGTAAGCGCAGGGTCCGCGTGGCCTCGGCTCTGCTGCTGATTGTGAGCTTGTGATGCGGCGATGCCGAAAGCGGGTTTCAGCTGGCAAGTGGACTGTTGGCGGTGAGGGCGTGTTCAAGTATCGAGCAAAAAGCGGTTCCGATGGTAAACTTTGATCGGGAGCACCCAAAATGTTGGATCTAGGAACGATTTCGGAGACATGCGTCAGAGACATGGGTTAGCTGCAGAGCGCCTATCATCCAGCCGGCTGATCATGCCCCCGGCATTGACCAATGGCATCGCGGTTGCCAGCACTACAGCTCATGGAACCGTGGTACATCTCGAGTCCCTGCGCAAACAGCTGGCAGTTGCTTTCTGCGGGGAAAGCGCGATGCTTTTACATCTAGGTACATGGCGAGGCTTCTCAAGTAATGGAATACGCAGATGACACTGGACATGTGCGCACGGCGCATCACATGAATAGTGTGAGAGTTCAAGCTTCACAAAACACACAGGCAAAACATGGTAGTGGCGGTATTGGTAGTATTGGGTATTACAAGTCGTGTGTCCTTTCATAACATCGCATTAAGTATCTTCCTAAACTCCCCTCGTCTCCCATGAAGCCGCCATGAACAAGTAGATAGCAGTGAAAGCAATGACTCCAACGTCGAAGCGCTGATGACGCTATGCCGTGATGACTGATACGTGGTACAGCCTTGCTAGTATCCGTGACGCAAATCCATCCTCATTACCGTCCAACTGGGACCGGCCCGCAATCCATCTACAGTATTGCTAGCTTACAAGGCGAAGCCGAAAAGCGCGAAAAGACCACCAGCGAGGGCAGGGGTGCCGTACATAGCAATGCGACCGGCAGCACCGGTAGGGGTAGAGGAGCCAGCGCTTGCGGAAGCCTCGCTGGTGCTGTCGGGGGAACCGCTGCTGGTAGCGGATGGGCTGCTGTCGCTGCCGGAAGCAGAGGCAGAGTTACCGGAATCGGTGGCGTCCTGGGTGGTCAGGTTACCGCACTCGTTGTCACGGGCCTGGTTGCACTGGAACTGGGCAGCAGCATCGGAGCCGGTGGCGGCAATGCACTGGTCGTACCAGTAGCGGCACATGAGACCGGGAACGGTCTGTTGGTAGGCGTCCATCTGGTCGCTCACATCGGTACCGTTTCGGCAGTCGCAAGAAAACTCAAGCGTTTGCTGCGGACATGTTAGTGGCTATCGTTGCGCGCCAGATGAAGATGCTTACCGAATCACACTGGTTGCCGTTGCTGGCAAGCTGTCCCTGGCCACCGCAGAGTTCGACGCAGGTGTTCTGGTTGGCGTTGCACCACGTCTGCTTGTCATCCTGGGGCACAGAGCTGGCGGGGACAGTGCAGCATGGAATGGGGGTGTCGTAGGAGCCTGTGGCGTTTTGCGCAGAGGCGAAGCCGGCGAGAGCCGAGGCGGCGACGAGGATGGAAGAGTAGAGCATTGTTGTGGATGGGGCAGAGAATATCAATGCCTACGAGGAGCAGAGTTAGCGGGAGATCGGCAGTGGTGGTGGAGAAGGCGAGCGACAGGGCGTGGGACGAAAGTTGAAGGGGCAATGGGCGCAATATAAGCCGCTGTGCTTGCGTCGCAGAGGATGTGGGACTTACAGCGTGATTTAATGCTGGTTTGGTGGAACGGATAGAAGAGGCGGGTGTTGCTGGGGAGGGCAGGAATATATGCTCGAGCGCACGGGCTAGAGCAACAACGCTAGCCGGCCGTGCTTGCCTCTAGCAGCTAGGGCAATTGGATTGAAGATACGCTCAGACGCGACCGAAAGTCTACCTGGGCGACTTATTCGATGCCGCCCGCTTGGAAATTGCTCAATTTGCATCTCTATCGCGACAAGGCCGACGTGCCGGGCGCTGACATGAGGTCGGGCGCGACACTGCGAACGGCCATCGTCACTCTGGCCGCGGTGTTGTTTCAGACGACGCCAGACGCAAAACTTGCCACGCTTCGGATATACACCTGCGGCACCAGCACTCCGTCCAGCGGCCTCGTACTCGAGCTGCCAACCGTTTAGGCGCATCTGCAATCCCCATGCCATGCACGTCGTGGTTGGCTGCGTGATGGAGCCGCCCCGGCCCATTAATGTTGACCAGCTTGGCTCAAGGCAAAGGAACATGGTCCCAAGTCACCGTCGACCGTGCATCGCATTCTCTGCGCAAACCCCATCTACTGACACGTACGGGGCTTCTCAATGACGGTCAAGCTTCGTCGTGCGGGCCGAGCTCCACTGTTGACTATAAGCCGGCCAAAAACAATTGCAGCCTTGCATGATTCACCGCATCCTCAGTGTCGCACCGTTTCAGATCTCATCTCATGTCGCGTCAAGACCCGGCGGCATCTGGGAGAAACGTAGGATGCAGGATTGGAGCCACAGCAAACACAGCTGTCACTGGAGGAACGCCGCATCCATGACTTCCGGCTTTGTCTACCTAGCTTATTGCCTTGCTAGGTGGCCCGCATATACATCCTCGGGCCGCACAGACGAACGACGCATCCACCGGCCCAATGCATGTGGCATGCAATGGGCACCACCAATCACTTTCCTTGACAAATCTGGATTAAAAGACGCACGCTGTTCCCTGCAAAGCTATTCGCATTGCCACACACCGCCACGCTGCTAGCTGCAACTTTCTCCCCACTATCCGTCCCAAAACAACATCTTGTTGTGCCGCATCGGATATAAGCCCGCTGTGCGGAGAGCAAGAGCGGAGAAGCGCTGATGTGCTGTTGTCACCTGAGCCAGAAAGAGATGGTCCTGGCTTCCACATACAGGGTACGATACATCTTGCGACTTGACTATCGCGACACCTTGATAGCCGCTACTGGATGGCGTCGACGCGTCAACATTGCCCGCATTCGCTACCCCAGAAATGCGATAGTGACTGTGGCGTAGCCTGTACATGGTAACGCCCGTCGTAAGCAGATTACGTGGGTCTACGACGCTCTCCAACCGTTTGTCGAGTTTGCTTTGCACAGGAAGATACTCGAGCCTCTTCTAGACGTTTCGTGGCGCCATGTACGACTGAGGGATATGAGTGCTATTGAACACATCCAATTTGACGCGACCAAATGGCGGCTCGCGTCATAGGCCTGCGTTGGGTGGGCAAAGCCTCGTCGAACGCATGGTTCGTGCGCGCAGCAACTGATCTACTATGTATTACCCCGAGGCTTGCGAATAGTCCAAAGCTTGCTGCTATCGTGGAATTGCCGTATGCAACCTCATGTTCTTTGCCAAAGTACAGCCTGACATGCGCTGTCTATACAGTAGTTTGCCTAAAGAGCAGCTGCAGGGTCGCTATTGCCTTTGCAGCTACTATGATGTCACGACTAATGGGGCTTGCAGCGCCGCTGTAATCACAAATTCTATGCCATTGAACCCGATGCATCAACAAACCAGCCTCATAGGCCATTGGACCGGAAAGTTCAGTCTACACACTCATCCCTGGTATGCATCCCAAAATGCAGAGCAACTACTTCGTCTGCACACTCGGTCAAGCTGCCGCCCTGAACACCAATCCGAAGCCATACCGGAACATTAGCGACTTTCTCAGTCAGCAATCCCAGCATCATCCGTTGCTCCCCGCCGTTGGCTTCCCCATACCGCGAACAGGCCAACAGAATTGGGATTATCGGGTTCTTACATTTGCAGACGTTGACCAAGGCACCAATGTCTTCGCCTCACGCCTGGCAAAGTCTCTTGGTATTTCTGGAAAGGCAGAGACGGTCGCTTTGCTGTGCCACAGCTCTCCGGAATTTCTCTTCACCTGGTTAGGCCTAATCAGACTAGGATACTCTGTTCTTCTGATAGCACCACAATGTCAACCAGCTGCCATACTACATCTCTGTACATCGTGCGAAGTTTCTGATTTCTTCTACGATGCTGCTCATGCAGAACGAGCGCAAGAGACAAAGAATCTGGCAAAAGAGCGGGGAACTTCTGGGCTAGAAGTACGCCTGCTGCCTATGAGCGATACAGAAGACATCTTTGAAGTCATCCAGACTTCGCCAGGAACCAGCATCGAACCTCTTCACGTAGATGAAAGAGCAATCGCGTATCTCCATCATACATCTGGAACCTCTTCAGGTCTACCGAAGCCTATACCACAGTCTCATCGCGCCGCTATTGGCGTGCTTCCACATCTCCCTAGAATCCCCTCCTTAGCGTCGTTCACCACAACGCCACTTTATCATGGTGGCATCGCAGATCTCTTCCGATGCTGGACAAGCAATGCTATGATTTGGCTTTTCCCAAGCAAAGATATGCCCATAACAGCACGCAATATCTGTAGTTGCCTGGATGTGGCTAGGTCATACGCGGCGACTGAGGGACTGCCTAAGGTCAGATATTTCTCGTCGGTACCGTATGTTCTCCAGATGATGGAGGCAGATGGAAAAGGTCTCCAAGTGCTTCAGGGCATGGACATCGTGGGTGTTGGAGGGGCTGCGTTGCCAGCAGAAGTCGGCGATCGATTGGTGAAGAATCGAGTAAACCTCATCTCAAGATTTGGGAGTGCGGAGTGTGGCTTCATTCTATCGTCGTATCGAAATTTTGCCTCCGATAATGACTGGCAGTATCTTCGAAACTACAATCCACGAAATCTGATAGAGTTTGAGAGGCGTGAAGATGATCTAGCTGAACTGATCATCAAGCCGGGATGGCCGCACATGGTACCTCCTACGAAATGAAGAGACAGGATCCTTCACTGACTTTGGTATAGGCGAAACAGAATCGACCAGACGGATCGTTCGCCACTGCCGACTTATTCGCGGCACACCCAACGATTAAAGACGCATGGCTGTATCATTCGCGAGCAGACTCACAGCTCACACTAATAACAGGAAAGAAATTCGACCCAGCACCCTTGGAAGACGCTATCGCGACGTCGCCTTACCTCGACGATGTGTTGATATTCGGCAACAACCGACCTTTCCCAGGTGCTCTCCTTCTGCGATCACAGGAGGCGAGCAACATGTCAGACCAAGAGCTTCTTGAATGTATCAAGAGTCAAGTCGAGAAATTGAACAGCGAGAGTCAAGACCATGCTAGAATACCCTTTGACATGCTGATCCCCCTCTCTCATCAAGACGAGCCGCTCGAAAAGAGTAGCAAGGGGACGATCATCCGCAGAGCAGCAGAATCTCGATTCGAAGACATCATCAATTACGCATACAAATCTCAAGACTCCGAGTCATCACCTGAAGTCAGTGACAAGGATTTGCCTCAGCATCTGATTGGTCTCATCCAAAGCATGACCGGACAGACGGCAGGATTAAACGAAGACATGGACTTGTTTTCCTACGGGGTGGACTCTATTGCGTGCATGCAGTTGAGAACGCGCTTGAGACGCTTGATACCCAACTTTGAAGGCCAGCTTCCAATGAGCGTCGTCGAAGACTGTGGTACTATACGAAGACTGGCAGATTACGTCTTGCGAAAGAGGCATGGTCAGATCGACTCCGATGGTGAAGACGAAGAGAAGTTGATGCTGGACTTGGTAAAGCAATACGGCTCGTTCAAGACGACACCACAGCAAACTGCCACCACAAATGGATTGATTGGAGACAATACAGGCAGCGAAGTGGTAGTACTTACAGGAGCCACCGGTGCTTTGGGAGCACACATTCTAGACCTGCTGCAAAAGACGTCGAATGTTGAAGCTGTCTATTGCCTTGTCAGAGGGGTAGATGAGCATGCAGCAAGGGAACGTGTGAGCAAAGCACTAGAGCAGCGTGGATTGGTTAACCTGTTATCATCGGGGTCCCCCAATGGTAAGATCAAAATCGTGACGTCTCAACTAGGAGAAAAACGTCTGGGGCTTAGCGACGAAGTGTACGAGTTCCTTGCGCAGAGAGTAACTTCAATCGTCCACGTTGCTTGGACTGTCAACTTCCGTCTCAAGTTGCGCAGTTTTGAGAAAGACAACATAGCCGGTGTAAGAAACTTGCTCGATCTCGCCCTGAAGTCACCCCAATCGCAGCCTCCGCGCTTCACATACTGTTCTTCCACTGCGGCCATCATGAACGGCTCTCTCGACGCATCGGGTGAGCTACCCGAGCGACTATCACCGGAGCCCTCTTCTGCGTCTCCGCTGGGTTATTCGCGTTCAAAATGGGTTGCAGAGCATATCTGCCTTGAAGCGCATAATCGGACGAGTCTTCGCGGACGTATCACAGTTGTCCGTGTGGGTCAGCTTGCTGGTGATTCGATGTCAGGGGTATGGAACACGAAGGAAGCCTGGCCTATGATGTTGAGTACTGCGAAGCTCATTAAATGTTTGCCCGATCTTGGAAGCGAGCCTCTAGACTGGCTACCTGTCAATATTGCTGCGAAAGCGTTCCTTGAGGCCACTGGTCCAATCAAGGGGGGAGAGGACATGCCAGTGTTCCATGTATTGAATCCGCATCAGGAACCCGACTGGAACCAGATGTTGCAGTGGCTGCAGAAGAAGGAATGGTTCGAAATTGTTACGCCCAAGGAGTGGGTGGAGCGATTAGAGCAGGCTGGTGACTCGAATCATTCTGCGCTGAAGTTACTAGGATTGTGGAAAGAGTCGTACGGCAACGGTATGGAGTACAGTACTTCAAGACCGCAGTTCTCAACAGCGGAAACGAGCAAGTGCGTACCGGCGCTGAGGGACGTCAAGCCCCTGGACAAGGAGTACATTGAAAGAATCTGGTACTGGATCCAGCAGAACGTGCAATAAAAATAGTCAACGGGGGAAAGTAGGAGCAGCGGTATGCTCAGAGGGTGTCCAGTACCTGTCATAGCCGCGAAACAAGCCTGCGTCAACATCAGGCATCCAACATGTGTTAAACTAGAAAACTACATGGCGATTTCAACACGTCAATCGGACCGTTTTATTCCGTCTTCTGCTTCTTCGGATGTTACATTTGCAGCACGATATGCATGGTGTGACTGTGACATACCTGCTAAACGATCGAGTGCATAGCCGCGTGCAGGGTGCACGCAGATGCTGTGCGGCTGAAAAAAACGGGCTCAATGGATCATTGCTGTGATAGTGTGACTCGGCTACTCTGAGAGCGTCGCGGATTTGGTGAAGATACTCGCGACGATCCTCGGAGAGTAAACACCATAGACTGCTGGTAGAATCTCTCCGAAGCGGACACTTTTGCCAAAGCAGCATACGCCGATTCAGCAAGAGAGATACTGCAGCGTGGACTACACAAGGCAATGTAACTTTTCATCGTCTTTTCATTCCACGGTTCTACCAAGGCAGCCACCGTGACACATACCTGCAGCCGCGTTAGTGATGCGTCATCTTCTCCCGTCGCATTCTCGTAAGTAGTAGGCGAGCGGAGCGCAATTCTCCTCCGAGTCCCCGACCCTCATGCCAAGCCTTTACAAGAGCGAGTCAGATGAGCTTGGCGGCTTGCCTGGTTGACGAGGCTAGAACGGTATCCTGTAAGTGGATATCCACAATGGTGAAATTTAGCCGGTGAGGATCGATTTCAGGCAGCTACACACAATCTTGCACGCGTGTGGTGATGAGGGTTCACGGACGAAACAACATCGTGTATAGAAGGCACGATAAGATAAGATAACTTGAGATTTCACGGACGAAATTCCAGAGCAGTATCAGGCACGCAGGGGACATAATCGTTAGCAGAAACTCGATGAACTTGAAATATTGCATAAGCGCATGGAGACAAAGGAGGATGCGCCACGTTGTGATGGTAGTACACCCAAGAAACCTGCTCATAGTGAGAACATAATGGTGATGAACCGTATCGAAAGAAAAAAATCGGCGCCCACGGAGTCCGTCCCTTGTCCGGAACGCTTAATGCAAACGGACGCTAGCTAAGCCGCAAGATCGTCTGCAACGGCGCGAAGCTTCTTGACCGCAAGCACGTTTCTAGACTCAGCATCCAGGTCCTCGGTAATCGAAAGGCCCCTGCGATGCAACGATAGGTGCAAATCGCAAACTCATCGAGTCACCGGCGGAGAGATGGAATGGGTGTTTGGAAGCGTGGTGGTGGGGTTCAGGCAGCCAGTAAGAGGCAGATGACGGTGAGAAGGTACTCTACACGGACGAAACCTGGTGGCATGCTGCGACGAAAGCAAACAATGGAAGGGTCTGGGTTAGTCAGATGTTAGGTACGATACGATGTATGCGAGGAATGGACCCCCGAGACCCCGGTACTAAGCTTTGTTGTGCGCATGGGTGAGCGAGCATGAAACCCGGCAGCTAATTCTAGCGCCCACGCCGCAGACGGGGACGAAAGATTGTCATGTCTCCGTCAGGCAAGGGAAACATCGGTTGCACTCGATTCGCTTCAGCCCTGACTCCGGTCTCGTACCTACCTCCTTTTTGGCCCGCCAGAATAGTCGGGTAGTATATAGAGGCTACACTTTCCGCCCCTGCGAAGTGTTTGCCTAGTTACTTATCCAAGGGTTCATCCGCTTCTCGCTCTTTCTTCGCAACCATCTGGTTGTTTGTTTCCTTGGCGCTTTGACGACTTGTCTCACGAACTACCCTGCATCATCGCGTATACATCAGAAGGCCTCTCTGCGCTTTCCCCATGAGCGACACAAATAACGAGCTCCGCCCCTCCAGCATGGCGGACTCGGAGAAAACCGCTGCGCCTAGCGTCCAGCCCACTGTTATCGACGAGAAGAAGGGCGCTGTTGAAACCGTTGCCCCTGCTGCTGGCGTTGCAGTAGATGCTGCTCGGCCCGTCACTGGCGAAAAGTCGTCGCGACCCAACTCAACAGCCGAGCCAACGTTGGAAGATGACGACAACTTTGAATACCCGACGAAATGGAAGCTCACTGCCATCACTCTGGCGCTTTGTCTGAGTGTGTTTTGCATGGCACTGGTAAGCTGCATCTCTCTGTAATCCCCGGTTACACTGCCTTGGTAAGCCGTTGATCGACAGCGGCTACACCTGTCAAACCTAATTATAATCAATACTGACAGCCATACCTTTGTAGGATAACACAATTATCGCAACAGCTATTCCTCGTATCACAGATCAGTTCAAAGCGCTCAACGACGTGGGATGGTATGGGTCGTCATACCTCCTGACAACTTGCGCGACGCAACTGATCTACGGAAAGTTCTATACATACTACTCCATCAAATGGGTATATCTCATCGCCCTCTTCATCTTCGAACTCGGCTCGCTTATCTGCGGTGTTGCGCCAAACTCAACAGCTCTCATTATTGGTCGCGCAGTCGCTGGTGTAGGAGCAGCCGGTATCTTTTCTGGAGCCATTCTGATCATCTCTGTTACCGTGCCGCTGCGTAGTCGTCCTACTTACATGGGACTCATTGGAGGCATGTATGGTATTGCGTCTGTCGCTGGTCCACTGTAAGTTGTGGAGAAAGATTCGGGATCTAAGATCGACGTGGACTAATAATTGCTTAGTATGGGCGGAGCCTTCACAGACCATTTGACTTGGCGTTGGTGCTGTAAGTGATTACTCATATATGAGGTACGATCAAGCTTTGTGGATCCATCCGCTGACTTCCGGTGTGCAGTCTACATCAACCTTCCCTTCGGTGCCGCTACCGCTGCCTTCATCATCCCCTTCCTCAATGTCAAGCGTCGCGGCAAGAAGGTTGAGGCTACCTGGAAGCAACAGCTTCAGAAGTTCGATCTTCCCGGTACCGCGTGTTTCTTACCAGCTATCATCTGTTTGTTGCTTGCCCTCCAGTGGGGTGGTAGCAAGTATGCATGGAACAGTGGACGTATCATCGCGCTCCTAGTCCTCTTCGTTCTGCTCATTGCCGGTTTCATCACCATCCAGTGGTGGAAGCAGGAGGATGCTACCGTGCCCCCTCGCGTGTTCCTCAACCGCAACGTCTGGGGCAGTGCATGGTTTGGTGCCATGTTGGGTGCAGCATTCTTCCTCATCGTCTACTATCTTCCAATCTGGTTCCAGGCGATCAAGGGCGCATCGGCTACCAAGTCCGGTATCATGAACTTGCCTGCCATCCTGGGACTCGTCATCATCTCAATGCTTGCTGGTGGGCTCGTTACAGCTCTGGGCTACTACACCCCATTCATGCTGGTCTCGTCCATCTTGATGGCAATCGGTGCTGGTCTCTTGTCCACGTTGGAAGTTGACAGTGGCTCCTCCAAGTGGATCGGATACCAGTTCATCTTCGGTGCTGGAGTCGGTTTCGGTATGCAGCAGACTCTTGTCGCTGTTCAGACAGTGTTGCCGGCCGATGATATAGCTATCGGTACTGCGATTATGATGTTCACGCAAACCCTCGGTGGCGCTCTGTTCATCTCAGTTGGCCAGAACGTCTTCACCAACCAGCTCATCAAGAACCTCGCCAGCATCGTGCCTGATCTTGACGCAAGCATCGTTCTCAGAACCGGTGCGACTGAGCTCAAGCATGCTATCGATCCCGAATATCTGTCTGGTGTGCTTACAGCCTACAACCTGACTCTGACCCAGACGTTCTACGTCTCGGTTGCTTGCGGCACCGTGTCAATTGTCGGCGCGGCGTTCGTGCAGTGGAAGTCGATGAAGGGCAAGCAGATCACCATGGCTGCTGCGTAGCGTGGTCTGGCGTTTGATAGAAACTTTATTTCGACATGACGATTTCTTGGACGTCTTGGTCCATGGACTGTATGATACCCTTTTCGGCGGCAAGTTAGCACTCGCATCTGGAAGCGAGCGCGGCGTTCTTGTGTTTTGCATGGCAGTACCGTTGTACTGTCACATATACATTGTAATAGACGGACGATGAACTGATAGACATGGCAGCTTGCTTTTTGAATGAGCTGGCAGATGTGCTGGCAGAAACATGACGACTCTTCTCTCATGGAAAATGTAGATCTAATAGTAAACATACGACATGAAAATCACATGATGCACGTGTTGTTGCTACATAGTATACCCGCACGTTGTTTTGGCTGCCGGTGCATGTCGAGCCGGTGCCACCCGCCGTGACGTCAGGCCGTTCGCTGTGGTATGGCCAGGTTTGGATGTCACATGCGAGTCCCTAGCCCAGTCAAGACGGGTGGGAAGAGGAGACGAGTGGAGACGGCAGCTGACACGGGCTGTTAGATTGGATAGGTTGGATGTGGCTGGGTAAAGTGGTCAGCGTCTGGGCTGATGCTTAGCAAAGCTTGTTTTCGCAGGGTCAAGCCCGTCAAGCCTCTCCCACTGCCGATCAACATCCATCCTGCACTGCGCCCGCCTGCGATTGCGCGTTCGGCGCTTCTTTTTCCAGCCTTGCATATTCTGCTTACATCCTGCCACGCCATGCGCCAGCTGACCTTTGTGGTTTTGCGACACTTCACTTTTGACATCTCCAACTACTGCTAGCTGGCCTCTGTTGCGCGCCCTGGTTCCCTTGCGCCGAGACGCGATAATACTCCGCACAGCCAGCACGCCGCACAGTTCCCACACCGAGTCACCATCGCGCATTGCGCATCGCAGCCATGGCACAGGTGAAGGATGCGAAGCCTGAAGACGCGCTGAACGGACATGCGCCCGACGTGCCGGAGAAGGCGGGTGGTTTCGACGGCGCTGACCACGAGCCCCCAAAGCCGCAGAAGACGGATACGTTCGGCAGCAAGAAGAAGGGCCCGGAAGGTGGCTTCGATGACACACCCATACCGCGCGCACCTCCCGGCTATACCGTCAAGTTCACGCTGCATCGCGCCAACAACCTGCCGCTCGCCGACATCAATACCCTGAGCGCCGATCCCTTCATCGTCGCCCAGCTCTTCACCGGCCTGCCCACACGACACAAAGAAGACCCGCCGTTGACGTTGCGAACACCGACGGTGCGACAGAGCACCGATCCTGTATGGGACTGCGAGTGGGTAGTCGCCAACGTGCCCGCTTCAGGCTTCAACCTCAAATGCCGCATATACGACGAAGACCCTGCAGACCATGACGACCGCCTCGGCAACGTCCACGTTACCGTCCCTGCAGTAAACGAGAACTGGGGAGGCATACAAGACCAGACGTATCCCATCAAGAAGCGCATGGTGAGCAAGCGGGCCTATGCGCTGCGGGCAATGGCTGTTTGCTTCGGCAAGGCGCAACACATGAATGGCACGCTCAACGTCAGTGTACAAGTGCTGGGCAGGACCGAAGACGACAACGGCGGGCGTGCCTATACAATTGGTCCACAGTTCTGGATACGGCACTATTCTCCGCTTCTGGGACGCCTCTTGGGTCAGAAAGAGCCCAACAACGATGGCCAAGTGTCGCGCAGGAGCGGCAAGCAGAAGCCTGAGAAGTACAACTTCCAGTCAAACCAAATGCAAATGCGCGGCCCAGTCCCCGAAGCCATGTACCACCGCTACGTCGAGTTCAAGCCTTTTGTCAAGAGCATGTTCACCGCCAAGGGCGTGCGAGGATTCATCCTCTCAAAAGCACTACATCACCAGCACGCACGAGTGTACAACTTCGATCATGCCACCGAATTCAAAACTTTGCCCGCACCCTGCCAGGAATTCACGCAAAAGTTCCTCGAACTAGTCCACTACGATCAAGGTGGGAGGATCTTCACCTACGTCTTGACCCTCGATGCGCTCTTCAGATTCACAGAAACTGGCAAGGAATTCGGCATCGACATGTTAAGCAAACACACTATGCACAGCGATGTCGCGGCATACGTCGCGTTCTCCGGCGAATTTTTCATCAGAAGATTAAAGCACAAGGACCGCAAGCCGCCGGATGAAGGGGGAAACAATACATCCCATCCCCCAGGCGACGTCGACGGCGGGCCTCCCAAAGAAGGTCCTCCGAAAGACCCAGCCTACTACGAACTCGTCATCGACAACGACTCAGGCACCTACCGCCCTAACGCCAAACTCCTTCCCCAGCTCAAAGAATTCATGTCTCAAAACCTTCCCGGTCTACACATACGTACACTCGACTGCCAAGGCGACGCCGAGAAGATGGAACACATGAAGAACGAACAGCGCGAGCGTAAGAAGAAGGAGGGCGACGCCGTGGTCTACACTCAGATCAGTAGGAGCAGTAGTATGAGTAGTAGTGATGTGGAGGAACTGGACCGTCTAGAGGAAGAAGGTGAAATGTCGCCCAGGCATCTAAGACACCAGGTCCAGAGAGAGGCTGGGGCCAGGGTCGATGCAATGAAGTACCATGCCAAGGAGTTTCGCCCAAGCAATAACCATGAGGGCTGGAGGGGCGATGGTCATCCGGCCAAGGCGGATGATGAGGAGGTGAATAGGTTGAGACAGGAGCATGGGGATAAACTCGTGGGATCATCGCAGGAGGGCACAGCGTCTGGTGCCAAGAGCTAACCGGCAGCTTAATTACTTGACTGACGTCTTTTTCCTTTCATGCTTCTGTCATTGTCACGCCTTGTACATGGCTCTCCTTCTTATCCTTCTTTCCCAGCATTCTACTTTTGGCTTTCGAGCACTTTGAGTCGGTGGATTGGTTGTATGTTTCGTTCGAGTAATCTATTTGCAGCTAAGAGAGAAAGAGAGAGAGAGGGAGGAAACACTACATACACGGACACTCTCTCTACCCCGAGATACCCGCCATCCTATTTCTGTTAACTAGAAGAAGCTTAATCTCCTCATCATTATCGGATTATGTTTTCATTTGCGTCGACGTTGTTCCTCCAAACTATCAATATGCGCTATGGCGAGAGATTCCCCCTTACACCATCCTCCCGGTACATCACTACTACTTACTCCAATTCGTAAGTCCAATCAACCAGCCTGTTGCTCGTGTACCTCTCAAACCCACTCCGGCGCTTCAAGCTCCGGCTTACTGACCCCGAACCTAACCGCCTTGGCATAATACTCCAACAGCGCCTCCCCGTCTTGCCTCCCCTTCTCAAACTCTTTCTTCAGCCTCTCCCTTCCCCGTCCAGATAACCAGACTTCCTCCCCTCCAACGCCCATTCGTTTTCGCATTCCGCGGCTGTAGTCGAGCGCGTGGCGTACTTCACGGCGATCTGTGGTTTTGGCTTTCAGCGCGATGTAGGCGGTGAGGTTGAGGAGCACGGCTAGATCGAGGGGGGTTGTAAGGGTTGTCGGGGTTGTGGATGCAGAAGGTGTTGTTGATGTGGACGCGACATGTGACGATGAGGCGTATTGAGGAAGGTCGTGGCCGGTTTCACTTCGTAGTGCAAGGAAGATGGCTGTTGTTAGGGCAGCGTCGATGTAGGTTAGTGGGAATTTGTTTGTGGCAATGTGTAACTCGAGGCTACTTTCTAATGCACTAGAAAGTGGGGTCCACACGTGGAGTGTTGATGTTTTCGAGTTGGTATTGCCATTGCTGGAGCGTTTGGTGGTAGGTGGAGAGAGTGTTTTAAGTAACCAAAGATGAGCATTCGCCCATTGTTGCGCTGGATTCCAGTTGTTTTCTTCCGATGTGTTGCTCAGGCTCGTTTGCAGTAGACCGGGGTATGCGAGGAAGTAATCGCGTATCGCACGATGGGCGTAACTCATTCTGAGGCTCTCAAAACTGGCATGTTGGTCGGATGGCGTGGTGTCAAAGATAGACAGTAACCCTTTGCAGCGCTGTTGAGTCAAGGCTTGCATGTCTTCTACTCTCTTACTTATTTCGACCGCTGTCAAAGGCCGTACATCAGCGGCTAATGTGGCTGGTGTTTCGGCTGTATAGGCAAATGAGAATGGAAGGATAGCAGGACATGTGTTTTGGTGTGAGAGAAGGTTGTGCAGTTTGTTGATTACCTCAATGTCTTCTGGGGCGAGTTTGCTGAGTATGTGGGCGAGCAGGTCGTCGAGAATGTAGGGAAGGGCGTCCGCGCGGTCTTTCAAGATGAGAAAATCCGAGTCGGGTTCTAGGTTTTCGAGGAGGAACTTGGTTGCGAGTTGTGCCCACAGAAACACCCCTGAACTCTTTTCCGCAAGTACCCTGACAATAGTGCTTTCTTCTTCTCCGTCCATCTTTCCCCTCAATGCCTGCAGCTTGGCCTCCATGTTGAACGTCGTGGCCAAGTAGGTATGTATATCGTCTTTGGTATATTCTTCCAGCATCATTCTAGGCTTGTTCTCAAAAGCTGACTGGAAAGCTGGGGAGCTTCGAGCCGAGAGCAAGAATTTGACGTTGTCTCTTCGCGCAGTGCTGAACACAAGGTCCATCAACTCCTTCGGATAATCCTCCGTCTCATCCAGCCCGTCAATCATGAAGAAGAACTTCTTTTTCGCGTCACTGACCAAGCCCTCGAATGCCGCCTTTAGTTCTGGGAAATTAAATTCGTGCAGACCGCCAGCGTAGGATAGGAAAGCATTCCAGCGATCCGAGAATAGGTTTTGCACAATGATCCCATCTTCTTCCAACGGCCCAAAGATCAAGTCTTGTAAGGTTTCGTAGATGATGGCTCGCAGTAGGCCGACAGAACTCTTCTGCGGTTCTGTTCCAGAGTTCCAGAGAAAGAATCCAGACGTGATGCCTGGTAGTTGTCCTGACCAGGCTTCAAGGTGTGGGAACAGGCGTGGATTACGGAATAAATGTTTCATGAGAGTCGTCTTCCCGGAGCCCGGCTTCCCTAGGGTCAGTGTGAGATGGAGATTAGGGATCAAACAGCGGGATCGCAAGAGGTAGAGACGCACCAGTGAGCCAATATATTTCTTCGCCTCTTGTATTGGTAAACCACTCCAGCAATCCGCCAACTTGTCTCGAGGCGTCTCCGAATACCCACTCAAAGCCTCCATCGACTGGTGCAGGGATACTATTCAATCTCTCGTCCATCTCCTCGAACCACAGCCTATCGAAGATTGTCGCGCGAAAGTATGCTTCGTTTTCCGCCTGAATCAATGCATCGACTTGCTTGGAAAATTCTTCGACATCCTTCTTCTTATTACTCTTCCAATCGTTGCTGTGGATCATGTCAAGCGTTTGATTCTGCCATTTTTCCCAGTGCTTCGTGTGCACGCCTTCCTCACCGCTAAACAAAGCAAGACCAGTTTCAATTGACTGGTCAAGATACTGGCGCATAGCCAACAGCAGACTCGTCTCAATGTCGCGACGAAGAGCTCGATACCTCTTCTTCACACCTGTAAGGTGGGCCTTCTTCCACACCCCGTTCAACAGTGCCTCGCGAGCAGTAGGCCATCGCGGATCGCCAAACTTTCCTTTCTCTTGTGCAGCGATAACTGCGTCAATGAACGAAGCCGTCAGCTCTTTGACCAAATCGGCATGCTTCAGCAATTGCAACGCAGCCTCGCTAAGTTTCTTGGCTGCTTTTGCGCTTTTTGCAGATTTCTCGTCGTATAGCTCCTTGAGCTCAGAGTGGTCAATTAGGTCGGTTAGGCGGTACAGATTGTGTATGATGTCCTGCAGGAAAGCTGCATTCTCCACGAACGGCGTTGTCGAAGGTGAGCTAGGCTGGAAGATGGGGTGGTCCTTGCGAAGTGCGTTGATGCTGAAATCTATGGTCTGGACGAGTGCACTCGCAAGACCGACCGCTGGTATAGGACGCAACATTTCGTAAAATTGCTTTTGCGTGGAACATCAAAAGCCCGGTCGCGGTGTTTGAGCCTCGTGCGCCTGTTGATATGCGAAGCGCATGTTCGCTGCGCCCCCTAAGGCGGGAAGTGCACAGACCATGTTCCCAGAGGCGTAATTCAGGGCGTGTTTCGAAACTCTAGCGCACGGGCGAGGACGATCTTTTCGATACTATGATCTTCCATCGCGGTCACCAACTTTTCCGCACAGAGGGCCTGAGTATGTCAGTATGTTTGGCTGTGTCATCTTCACCGCAATGGTGCATTGTCTAGCACACTCCAATGGCTGCATGGTATGCCACGTTGCTCAAGGGGCGGCCTCAGCCTTGTGCGTGCTACTATTGGTATGTAGAGATCCCACATTCATAGCCTCCGGGTAAGATAGGCTTGGACATTTTATTGGTCTCGGGAAAAAGAGGCTTGATCGCTGAGCTGGGCGCTCACAGCCTGGCTGAGGTCTGCTGGCTCAGCGTGGAGTGAGGTTTGCCTTGTGCCTACTGCCCCGCACATTCATCGCCCTCTACAACAACCCACAATCTGCTACGGGAACCTTCTTACCTTTTCTTCTTTCTTTTCTTCACGAGTGAACGCGTCGATATGGACCCTGGCACTGCCGTTGGTGTTATTTCGCTGGGTATTCAGGTATGCGAGGGTATACTCAAATATTACCGCGATTGGAAGGGATATGAGGACGATATTCAAGGAACATACACTGAAATTGATCATCTCGCCAAAACCTTTGCGCTTCTGTATGACGAACTGCAGATGGTATCACAAAAGGCTCTCGCCATCCGCGCACAAGAATGCCTCGCGACGTGTCAAGACGGTATTCAGCAGTTAGAGAAGAAACTGAAGAAGTTACACAAAGATGCGCCGGCTGGACTACGACAGCGAGCTGAAGTCGGTGCTCTCCGCTTGATGTACCCTTTTCGGAAAAGTACATTGGAAAAGCTCAAGGAAATCGCTCAGGGCTTGATGCAACAACTGAACTTCGCACTCCAGATCATCTATCTGAGCAACAGTCATTCTGCTCAACTCAAAGCGGATCAAATCCAAAGTACCCTCGACACTACTGAGGAATTCGTCAAACGAATCAAAGCTACCACATTAATCACACAGACCCAAGTGTCTGCCACCGCAGCAAGCGTGCAGGCCCTGCTCTCCGTGGAGCAATCCAGGGAGGTTTTGGAGATTCTCAAGTGGCTCGATGCACCAGATCCAACGACTAACCACACTCAAGCACGTGTAAGATACGAAACTGGAACCGGAGAATGGCTACTCAACAGCCAGGGATATCAAGATTGGATTTCTGGCTCATCGCCCTTACTTTGGCTGCATGGAAAAGCTGGATGTTGCAAAACGATACTGTGCTCCACGGTCATCGAACAAGTGTTCGGCCGAGTCTCTGGCCAAGACAACGTTGCTTTCGCCTACTTTTACTTCTCTTTCTCTGATGCACAGAAGCAGAATTACACGAGCGTGTTACTCTCTATGGTCGCTCAATTAAGTCGAAAACGCAGCGTTCATCCACTTCTCAGGGCTGCTTACTCCCAGGCTCCGTCTCAAAAGCCTTCATCCGAAGTTCTTGAGCACATATTCCTAGCTTTGCTTGAAGAATCTAGGACATCCTATCTTGTGGTTGACGCCCTCGACGAATGCTCAGAAGAACAACGAGAGAAGATCCTAGAAGGATTTAGACGTATCACACAATCTCTTCCGGAAATTAGACTTCCCATCACCAGCCGTAAGGAAGCAGATATCGAAGATCTCTTATCGTCTTGGCCTGTGACTCGGTTTACAATTGACGAAGAGAGTGTCAATCAGGATATTGATCTCTATGTGAAGAACGCGTTGGCCACAGACAGGAAGCTAGTAAAACTTCCGAGCGCAACAAAAAAAGAGATCGAAGATGAGTTCCGCAAGAAGTCAGACGGAATGGGAGTCTCCTGCCGCAAAATGATGATGCGAAAATGTCCAGATTCTGACCTCGAGCACAGGTTTCGATGGGCCGCACTCCAGCTCGACAACATTCGCAATTTGAAGATTTTGCGACCAAAATATATCTCGCTGGCATTGTATGAGATGCCACGGACCTTGGATGAGACATATGCACGTATCTTGTCCTCCATCGACAATCTCTACTTTGATGAAGCTCGGGCAGCTTTAGAATGGCTTGCGTTTAGTTTGAGGCCGCTTTCCGTTGCCGAGTTAGCAGAGGCATGTAGTATCCGGGTTGACAATTTCCAGGAGCCCATTTTCGAGGAAGGCGGATACGAAGCCCTTGTTGGTCTCTTTAGTGTCTTATCTTCACTTATTGTTAGTGGAGACCAGTCCGACTACGATTCAGACTACGGGCGATACCGTGTCTTCACGAACAATCCTTTAGGAGATCCTTTACCAAAGAAGTACGACACGACGTGTTATAATCAAACAGTTCGCCTTGCCCACTTCTCTGTCAAAGAGTATTTGGTCTCCAACCGCTTACGTCAGTCTCACCTTGAACTGTCGAAATACGCACTCAGGGAAACGGAAGTGGAACTTTCCCTGGCTCAGAGGTGTTGCGCGTATCTTCTATATTTTACAGAGCAACGAAACGTGAAGATTTGGATCGATGAAGCGAAGCCGCCACGCGAACTTCCTCTGCGCCAGGAGAATAGTAAGACACGATTTTATAAGCAGGATTTCCTGAATGATTTCGCGCCCGCTTATACACTACTACCATACGTCTGCACATATTGGCCACGGCATCAAGCATTAGCAGAGTTAATCGAGGAACCACTCCCCGTAAGTATGCGTCTCCACCTCAGAGTCCTGGAAAGCGATGTCGTACGAACCTCATGGACTCGGCTTTGTGATGTATCGAGCGCAACTGCATTGTATTGGGCAGCTTGCTCTGATCTATGTCAGACTGTGTCTCTACTCTGCAACTCAAAGTCAAGTTAAGAAATCAACAAAGTAGGCGTATATCAGCACACCGCCCTTAAAGCTGCAACGTTTCGTGGAAACGAAAAGGTTGTAGAGATTCTCGTTGCGTCTGGTGCAGACGTAAACTATAAAGGGGGAACTTTCGGCACAGCCTTGCAAACTGCTGCCTTTGAAGGAAACGCAACAATAGTGAACATACTCATCACCAATGGGGCTGATGTAAATTGCGAGGCGGGTCACTTTGGTACAGCTTTACAAGCTGCTGCGTATCGAGGACATGAAATCATAGTCGATATGCTCATCGCAAACGGTGCCGATGTAAAATACCATGAGAATCGTACTCGCTTTACAGCACTCATTGTGGCGGCGAGCAAAGGCTACGGTGGTATCGTATCGAAGCTGGTTAAAGCGGATGTGGATAACCGCACGCTTAATGTCAAGGGCGAACATGGTACCGCTCTAGACCAAGCTGCAGGTAAGGGCCATGAGCAAATTGTGGAAGAACTTCTCCTAGCGGGCGCGGATCATGGAGACACGATGGAGATAGCAATGCGGGAAGGTCAAGAGGGGATCGTGAGAATCCTCATCAAGTACGGAGCCGCTTACGAGCCAGCGGGCGAAGTGTGAGAGTCGTTTGTTGTGCACCTCAGGTGTGGCATACACTCAAATGTTTCTCCATTGTAACTTTACTTCCTACAATGCCTATTCTATGTTTTCAGGATAAGAAAGATCCACACCGAACAAGATCACAACCCTAAAACTGCACCTGCAGCTTCGGATTTGTTCTGATCCGCTCACCGTAGTATCTGAATAAAATCGGCACCGGAATAAAAGCCACCGAGATGAAACCAAGCAGTGAGTTACCCCAGCCCAAACCCAAAGCATCGTACATGTTCAATCCGGCAAGCGGTAAGAATGCACCGAAGATAGAGCGGAGAACAGTGTTTGCGGCGATAGCAGACGCGGCATGGATAGTAAACGCATCGACGAGATAAGTTTGAATAGTCATCATAGCCGTCAGGTTACCCAGACCGATGAACGACGTGAAGATGATGGGAACAATCCAATGAACCTTGTAATAAGTCGTCCATCCGTACACGAAGACGCCAACAGGTAGTCCAATGGCGCCAGGCATAGTAAGGATGAGAGGGAGGCGATGTTCAGGTTTGACGTTGCCTTTAGCTTGTTGCTTGACGATAATTTTGTCGGATACAATACCAAGGGCGATCATACCGATGAACATGCCCACGCCGACACCAATGTAAGATAATCCAACAGCGCCGGAGGAGAAGCGGTATTGACCCTCGAAGACGAACGTCACGGTTGTGAAGAAGAGGTATAAGATACCATAGTTCACAGCGACGTAGAGAGACATAAGGCCAACGATGGGAGAGAGGAAGAGCATCTTCATCGGACGAACAATAGCACGAATGAAGATCTCTCTTGGCGGCAGATCCTGCGCGAGTTTCGAGCGGAGGTTCATGTTTCCGGTTTCCTTTTGTAGGGCCTTTGTTTTGCGAGCGAGGAGAGTGGGATGGAAACTTTCGCGGCCAACGAAGAAGAGCAGGACGCCAAAGACTCCACCGAAGATGGCTAGGATCCAGAATACCCAGCGCCAGGATTGATGCTCGACAAGGAAACCTCCGCATACGGGACCAATCACGGGGCCGAGGAGTGGGCCTATAGAGGTGGAGATGTGAAGTCAGTGTATGTCTCATGTGTATTTTGTATAGTCATAACTTACCTACGGCCCAGATAGCCATTGCACCTGCTCTTTGTTGCGGAGGGAACATGTCTGCGATTGTGCCGCCACCGATGGTCAGGGGCGCAGCTCCAGCACAGCCAGCGAAGAAACGAAAGGCAACTAGCATGCCCATTGAATTCGATACTGCGCAGCAAATGTTGAAGATTACGAAGAGGACGTTGCATATGTTGTACAAATGCATGCGTCCGTATAGTTCGGACATGGGCGCTATTATCAGAGGCCCGATGGCGAATCCCAAGATGTAAACGGAGACGACAAACGAGGCCATGATGTTGGAGGTTTCGTTGAAAGCACGGAGTACTTGTGGTACGCCGGGTGCGAAGAAGGAGGACGCGAGTGGTGTAATGAGAGTGCATGCACCGAGAGCTGCGATGATACCCCATTTCTTTCCAGCCGGCCAGTTCTGGGGGTTTTCGGGGTCATCTGGTCCATCCCAGTCGACTATGTTGGGGTCTCGTTCTTGTTCTGGTGGTACGTCGCCGGATAATGTTCGCTCGTCTGTGTGTGTTGAATGTGCGTGACTATCGACTCCCTTCTCTGGGTCTTGTGAGAATGATTCCTCCGGAACCTTTCTATCTGCGTCATGGCCTTGTTCGTATGCTTCCTTGATAGATCCGTTTGGCAGATCTTGCGCATCCCGCGCCGGGTTTGGTAATGAGGCTGGCGTTGCCATTGTGATGGTTGAATGCGGACTGAGCTGGAGGAGCCATCATTAGTATATAAGCAGACAGTAAGAGCAGCTTTGCCACTGCCTTTCCGTTTACATGAGCGAAGCAAGCTCGTTGACTGGTCGTCCTTGAAGTCCAGAAAGAGAAGCAAGTCTTACCGAGCGGACGGTATCGAAACTGAGACAGTTGCACGGAAACAACCGCAGGGCCGGAATACACTTCGAACGATGTGTAGATCGGCAGTTCACACTAGGAGCACAGAGCGTGTTTTGGTAAACACGGAAAATAGCTTGAAAGGAAGGAAAGAAGTGGTGCCTGGTGTGAAGAGATCAACAACAAAGACAGGCGTACGTCGTCGCAATCACGGAGATCAAAACCTACGACCCTCCGCACACAAAAGGGCTACATGCCTAGACTTAGCAAACAAGGGCTCCGAAGCGACATGGCGGTGCTACCACCGTATGCAGCGTATTTACCCTATCTCCACACCTTACTAGGCGTTATGTCCGCCTGTAGGCTAAACTGTTCAGGGTCACGGGCAACGGATCTACGGCATTGTAGGATTCTGCACCAATGAGACGGCAGTCTTCGTGCAGCGTAGGGAGGCTTCGTGAAAGCTTGTTGGCTGACATGACAAGCTTGACAGCGCCCGCCATCAAATGGCGCCGTGTCCGAGGTTCTTGGCAGCAAGTTCGCGCGGAGGGTCGGACGGTCATCTATCTTAACTTCGACAAGGCGTGAAGCCATGTTGCTTTCTCGGTAGAGACTACGGGTTTCATTGTCGAGATGCATTCCATTGACCTGGTTTCGGGCGCATCGTACTGTGCCAGTCGCGTGTTGTGGCGCTTCCATTTTCGTCCGACGTTTGCGCCATGGACCTGGTATGAAGCGGCGTCCGACAGCTAGCTCGCAGCAACATCGCTGTTGAATCGTCAATACTTATTCAGTACAAGTAGACAAAAACTCTTGGTTTGGTACCCAGCGTTAGAAGTCGAGGTATGCTCCGGTAAACTTGGTGAGCAGTATGCCGCGTTAGGAAGGCGACACAACACGCGTCTGACATCGATATTGTCGTTGAACGCCCTGCAGCTTGACCGTTCGCCATAAAGAGGGTGTCTTGCATGTTCTGATAGCAATAATACGTGAGGATAGGGTGCGATGTCCAGCGAATGGTCCACTAATCCCCGCAAAGAGGGTCGTCCCACTAATGTCCGCAGTCTGTGTAATCTGCCGACTTCTGTACCCACTATAGAGATCAGCGCCATGAGAACTATCGGTAAAGGCTTTTTGGCTCCCGCTGATAGGTTCCTATCAGATAGGAACGATGTCCTCGTGAGCAGGTTGGCATGTCGTGGCGGACACGTTTTGCAAGGCAAATCTTCTAATGCTGACGCCGACGCCGACGCTATACTACGCGTAGTGGCCTTACACAATCAACTCGGACCGAATAGCACTCATGAGATGGGAATAAGAATGTCTGTCATTTCATCGTAGGCAACCGCTACAGTAGCACCCTAGTTCGTTGCCCATGGCATTTCATTCATTCATCCATCCAAGCCAACCACATCAATCGTGTGTATGTATATGCGCCCAACGCCATGCTTTGCCATGTATATTACAGAAAGAAGAGATTCGTTCGCTTCATCCAATCCATCAGGGTATCTTTACGCAATGTTGCCGGCGAGACCAAGGAAGAGAGCTTGGGCTGCGAGTTGCAGTGTCCAAATGCCCACCTTTTTTATGCGTCGCTTACGTGTGGTTCGGTCTTCGAGGACGTCGCGGGCAAAGGCATCGTACATCTAGGATGTGTTAGTATATACTTCTGTAAAGACAATCAGAGGATATGGAACTTACCTCCTTCGACACTTCCTCCATCAACCCGCTGTCGTAGAGGGTCCAGCTCCCATCGAACTCACTAACTCTCTTCACAACCCTGCAGTTTACTGGGATGAAGGTGCGACTCGAGTTCATGTAAGCTACGATAGGTCGTACGAGCGCGTTGTTCACATAAGAAATATCTCGGGTGAAGATGGGGACTGCGGCGCGCACGTCGTTGAGATGAACGCGCATGTCCATGATCATGTAGCGCTTATCTTCTTCTGTCCCCTCGTCAAGGTTTGACTTGTCTTCATGGTGCTCGTCGAACCCGTGTACGGCATGGTCGGAGAAATGATGTTTGCGTTGTTGAATGACGGTTGCCTCAACGCGGTCATACATGTCGGACATAACCTTTGCGATGCTGTCGTCGTCGTCGCTGGGGAACATGACATCTGCTACAATGTCGACATTGCCTTCGTGGATCCATGAGAAGGGGCCTTCGAAGCCTCTATTAAGATGGTCAATGTTGAGGCCATCGATGCGAATCCGGCTGTGCTTCTTCCAGGCTTTACCATCTTCGCTGTCGCGGCCGCTGCTCAATTGTGTGCCAGTGCGATTGTGTGTTTGTCGAGGATGTATCGTAAAGAGTGAGTTGTCGAAGGATCCGGACATCATGTTGGCAGAGAGGAAGTCGTAGAACAACCATTGCTTTCGCAGCTGTGGGAGGTCGCAGGAGAAGATGCTGACAGAGAACGGGCGGAAGTCGTTGGGCTGGTAGATGGTTACAAGGAGGTCTTCCATCTTGAAAGATTCCAGTTCGAAATCGCCTGGGTTGTGCTCGTGCTTGTACGACCTAGGATCCACGCCTTCAATTGTCTTCACGGATGTCCGATCTACTACGCCTCTGATACCCTTGATTTCGACATCCTTCAACAAGCCTTTTCCGTTGAACCACTTAGAAAAGGACAGTGTAACGTTGACGGTATCGATGGATATATCGAACTGGGTGTAGTTGGTGTCTTCTTCGGGTTCCACTTTCTCTTCGACACCGTCTTGACCGTCCTTGTCCTGGTGGGTTATAGTAGCAGCGGCAGCAGCCATCTCCGTTTGTGAGCCCTTGCTGACCTTTCCCTTGCCCTGACCCGGACGTCGCGAGACAAAAACGTTGCGGAAGGAGATGACGCCATCTCCCCACTTGGGTACAACAGCAGTCTCAAAGACAACTTTTATGCCCGAGGACTTGGTCAAGTAGTTGCCAATGAACTTGGCGATGGTCTCCTGGGAGAAGGCGGTATTGACCAGGAAGATGGTCAACATGAAAAACGTTGTAGTTCCCAAGACGATCCACAGAAAGTGCGCCGCGATGATCCACGAGAATAATGCGTATATCTCATCGGCATTGAATGGGCGGGTGCTTCGGATGGTGAGCCACTTGAAGTGGATCTTTATCCGCGACCAGAAACCAGACGCTGCCTCGAGTAGTTCGGCTTTGCTCGGACGGTATATGTGGGGTAGGTGGTGTGGTAGGCGATCGAGGAGGGGCTTTGCAGCACTCGCTGCTTCAGGCTTCGGTTTCGGGGGCGTCTTTGAGGCTTTGGAGGACGAGTTCGGCTGGGGAGATAGCTGGGCTTGGGGGGCTTGACCCGTGGGACCTTGCTTGTCCTTGGTTGAGCCATTGGTCGCCGAACTTTTGTTGCGTCGGTCGCTGCCTCTGCTCTTCCTCAACGCCCTGGATGCCTTGGACGATGCGTTTCTGCTCCATGCCGAGAGCACAGTACTAGTCACACTCTGCTGGAGGTGACCAGTGCGGGGTGATGACGCTCGGAGCAGGCAGGTGGGAGCCTGTCCAGGATACTGTGAGCGCGCAATTGAGGGCAGACTCGTGGTCGTCGACAGGCCAAAGACGCGGCAGTTGGAAGCAATGGCCCGTTTCTGGATGCCTCCCCTCGATGTCGACTGCGACTGTGCCCATATTCCCCGCGCTTCCCGCGAAAGCACACGGGCGTGTACCAAAGGCTGGCCAGCGACGGCGCGCCACAGGAAGCCGAGCGTTCCTACATTCTTGTTCATGATAACCGCGGCGGGTACATGGTCGACGTTCGCAAGCGAGGGGATATGCGAAGGTATCTGCGGGGGGGATCGTCTGAGGTTTGCGGTGTAGGAAACGCGGGCGGTTGGCTGGAAATACAGGCAAGATTCACGTCATTACCCATGCACATGCAAAAAGTAGGTAGGAGTGACAGGCGCCAGCACGGTCCACCACCACCTTTCGCCTCTCCAAATTTCTTGAGAAGCCCCACATTGTCGCGAATCGATAGCCAATTCGACCCTCCTCCTCGCCTCACCTTTTGCTCACGCCTATAGCGAAAAGAGGAGGAAAATAGCTCTACAGAGATCCAGACGACCTCTATCCGTCCGAAGTCTCCCCGCGCACACACGTACACACACGCACACCGCTCAGGCTTGACTCCCAACGCCCGCGCATCGTTACGACAATCGCATACTGCAGCCAAAATGCCCGCACCTACAGCCCTCCAGCGCAGGCCCGAAGAGTTCGCCGACGATGTCACCATGGAGGCCTCCTCCGTTCCTCTCCCGACCGAAAGCGAGGGCGACCTCATCTCTATGAGCCTTGACCCGGTCGAGGCTGCGCACGACGCCCCAGCACCCACAGAAGACATGCCCATGACAGACGAGAGCGGAAAGCCCAAGTTCCCTGCGGCCAAGTCGATACCGCTCGCTTTCCGCCGCGAGCAGCGCAAGGTCCCGATCCCACCCCACAGGATGACACCACTCAAGAACTCGTGGCCCAAGATCTACCCTCCGCTTGTTGAGCACCTCAAACTGCAAGTCAGGATGAACACAAAGGCAAAGGCTGTTGAGTTGCGCACTTCCAGTGCTACCACCGACACCGGCGCGCTCCAGAAGGGAGAGGACTTTGTCAAGGCATTCACTCTGGGCTTTGACACAGACGATGCCATTGCGGTAAGTGGATATCAAACCAACACATGCGTCGCGCGAATGTTCGGTTTGGGCTTCGCATGGCCAGATTGCAGCATCGGAGAAGTCAGAACTGACGAGTTTATAGCTGCTTCGATTGGATGACCTCTACATCGAGACCTTTGAGATCAAGGACGTCAAGACCCTACAGGGCGAGCATCTCGGTCGTGCGATTGGTCGAATTGCAGGCAAGGACGGCAAGACCAAGTTCGCAATTGAGAACGCCAGCAGAACACGAGGTATGTTCATCGCATCATGTTAACAACCTACCTGTTCACATCACTGACATTTCCTAGTCGTCCTGGCGGACCAGAAGATCCACATCCTCGGTGGTTTCAAGAACATTCACATCGCACGTGAAGCCATCGTCAGCTTGATCCTGGGTCAACAACCAAGCAAGGTGTACGGCAACCTACGAACAGTCGCTGGACGCATGAAGGAGAGGTTCTAGACGATACAACAAGCGAGGGGTCTTGCATAGTAAGCCACGCAATGGCAACGGCGATATCGGGCATTTACATGGCGTTTGGAGACTGGGCAGGTCGGGAAAAAGCTGTTTATACCATCTGAGATGACTTGATGATTGGAAGGAAGATGGCTGGGACATGTCATAGCTATAGAGGCAATTACGATTGATTCACACCTACCCACATGTCCCTCCATGGATGATCCAGCACGGGTATGAGTCGTGAATCCTGAACAAGTTGGAACTTTTCTTCTAGTCAACAAACACACACGCACCCTTCTTTCCCTCGCTCACCCATCAATTCTCGCTACGAAAACCGCACAAGCCTCCCTCCCTTCCTCGCCCCAAACCCTCTGACAAGGAATCCACTGCACACCCTCCATCTTCATACCTACCCTCCCTTTGCCAAACCACTCGAACCCTCTTCCAACATACAACGTAGCGCTCGTCCACTCTTGCTTTCCCAGCAACTCCACGTCACCCTCATCCCTAATCTCCAGGGTAAAGAACCTCGATCGAGTATCCCGCGGCATTGTGGTGGTAAAATGGGGGACCTTGGGATCACGCTCAAAGGAGTTGGAGAGAGCTGTCAGGCCTGTAGCACTCCACTCTATATCCACACCACGTGGTAGAGAGGAGACCTGGGCAATGAAACAGGGCGGTATTGGTACTGATGTCTTGTTAATATCCGCGTCTATGTTTTGGTCCTGAACTTGAAACTCAGAAGTAGAGAGGGCAGAGCGATCGGGGATGGGAGAGCGATAGGTTAAATCCTTGAACGTTGAGGCGCCGTGGTGTTGGTTCAGGCGGTCCCAAGGGTCCATGTCTGCGTCTTCGTTCTCTTCATCATCGGAATTATTGAGAGAGGATGAGCGGGGTGGTGTGTGGATCGTTCGCCAGACTTCTTGGGCTACTTGTACGGACTCTTCTGGATATGGTGATGCTGGGATGAAACCTACAACTGCTGACCACCATTTGACTCGTTTTGTACGGCCGATACGCCAGAGATGTTGTAGGGAGAGGATTGCTTGACCTCTGAAGCCATTTTCCTTGTAGACGTCCATGGATGCGGGGACTAGGGGAATCTGACCGGCTACGTATACCACTTCTCCACTACTCTGGGTATCGCTTTCGTTGAGCTCGTTGTGAGGGGGTAGATGTACAGAGATAGCTTGGCTGTACGGTCCGATGTTTGCTGGTGCCCAGTAGCTTCGCCCTTGTACGTGCAGCCCTTGTCTCCTTACTGGTCTGAATACCTTTCCATCCTGATCTGTTTCGTCCTTGTCCGCAACTACACTCAGCATGGCATGTACGCCTCTAGGCATTGTATCTCCAACTGCTATTGTGGCTCTAGCTGGTGGGTTCACGTGGCTAAAGTATTGCGCGTAGATGGGATTGAGAACTGTAAAGTCTGCCATATCGCGGAGAAGTAGCGTACAATGATTGACGCTGTTCTTGGGAATACGTGATTGCTTCAAGATATGATCGAGACGGAGGAAGATCTTGGAAAGTTGGCGAGAGGGGGAATCGGGTGAAGCAGCGGTGGGAGCATCGCTCGTTAGATTGGAGTATGTGAAGACCGTCGAAGTATCACTGAATACATTCCTGGGAAGCCAATCTACTACTGATGTGCTATCCAGTCGAGAGACAGCCCCAGAAGACTTGACAGCAGATCCCGTGTCAACGGGTATGCCTTGACTACTCTCGTTGCTAGCATCTGTGGCTTCTATCAAGCTCGCGAACTCCTCGTCCCAGAGCTCTGGTATTCTTAGTGGATCAATAGGTTCGGCGTCGTCTGCGCTCTTCTCCTCAAGTGTGCTGCTCTTGATCTTTAGCACTGCTTGGCCACCGTCCAGCTTCCCGGGTGGTCCATTGTCGATCCTGATCCTCTTCTTCCAGAGCGATCTTGGCCCGTCCAAAGCCAATGTCTCAAACTCACCCCCTTCACCTAGTATCGCGCCGTCGCCAGCATCACCATAGCGTCCCATTGCCTTGGCCACTCTAGCTATAGTCTTGTAATTAGCGACATCGAGACCCAAAAAGTCCTCATCTAGACCACCTGACGCCGTCTTGATGATAATTGCTTTTTGCCCGATAGCCGTCATATCGTGCAGAAGTGACGACTGTGTGTACGGTGGCAACAGAGGATACTGCCATAGATACGACAGTGGCGTAAGTCCCAGCCTGAGCGCTACAGACTCCACACGCGTGCGTTGATATGTGCTCAGGATAGCCCCTGTAGATACAGCGTTGGCCTCAGGGTGTGCTTCCAGAACCCTTCTCAACAGTGGTACCAAGTCTTCAGTTTCATCCTGCTCTTGCTTTTGCAAAGGTGTCGCATAGTCTCTATTCGAGTCTACGGCGGTACCCGTAATCTCTTGTCGATAGAGAGGGATCCCTAGCGCTTCTTCGTAGAGGGGAATGACCGAGTGCCCCACGGTCTGGTACATGTAGCTGTTAATGTCCTCATCATCATTGCTAGAAGGCGCTGGGTGCAAATTGGCCAGTGCTACGACGGTGTGGCCGTTTGCTTGACAGTGGAGAATGGAGAAGAGCGAGTCTTTGCCCCCGGAGATTAAAGCAATCACGTTCAATGACGCCGACATGGTAAAACGAATGATTCGAAACGGGCGACCGTCTGGGAAAAACAATGAAGGAGTTGAGGACGGCCCGGTGCCGCTCGTTGCATGAGACAGACGCAGGTGGATTGAGTCTCGCTAAAGGTCTGCGCACGCTAGGTTGATCCGTGGGGTTTTGGAACGAGCGCGATCGTGTTTTCTGGCATCAGGGTCCTGTCCTGCAACTCATTGCAGATCATCGAAAAGCAACCATGCGCACAACGCGCGGCTCGCATGGATGGCACAGTAGTCACATGCAGGTAAGGACATCGGAAGTATGTATGTAATAACGTGTTTTTTGTATGATAGTCGGACAGTGCCAGCACCTCTAACCTACAATAGGCTGCGCAGAAAAGCATTGCTGAGCAGATTGTAAAAGTCTGACGATTACATGTGTTGTGAGAAAGAAGCGAATATTCTCAGAATGTTGGAGGGCGTTCAGATGAAGCTGCCCAATTACAACGAGGGTAGGAAGCGCAAGATAAACAAGGGGGTAACGCGGCGACAGTGGCCGGTGTAGGGTAATGGCCATGTCGTCGTAAGAGTGAAACCAAGAAAAAACACCAGATCTATCCGTCCGCCAGTAGTAGCCAGTCTCCCCAAATCCCAGGTGTGCCGTGCTAAACGCGAAACCAAAAATGCCAATCTCGAATATTTAAACTGCAAGATTGGCTGAGTAGAATACAGTGGTAGAAGGGAAGCGTAGAGTTATCGCTGCAGATTATGCAAGATCGAACCGCTGATGTGAACCTGTGCCGCCTGTCTAGCCGAGTCGTGAGGGTGGACGAGCAGCCATGTGGCATGATGTATAATCCTTCTACCGGGTGTTGTGGATGTCATGAAGGGTCGTTAAGAGTTGAAAGGAGAAGTGTGGTAGATGAGAAGATTTACTCGTTCCTCTTGCGCTTCTTCTGGCTGGGCGACGACTCGTTCTCGGATCCATCAGAGCTTGAGGTAGGGATCTCGGAGGCAGCGTTGTAGAGGATCTCACCCATGGTGGAAGGGGCCTGTGCGCCAAACGCACCGGGTTGACCATGCTGCATGTCCGAGTGATGGAAGTCCGAGCCCATGACCTCAAGGCTGACGGCACCAGTACCGTGGGTGCGCTGGTGCTGAGAGAGGTTGTCGCTCCTGGAGAACTTCTTGCCACAGTCAGTGCACTCAAAGGGCTTGTCGTGAGTGTGGAGAGAGCGGTAGTGGCGCTTGAGGTGTTCTTGACGGCGGAAGCGACGCGAGCAGAGAGTGCAGACGAAGGTCTTGGAAGGGTCGTCGGTAAGCGACTGCTTGCGACCGCGGCGGCTGGTAGGGGCGACAGGGGTGGCGTGTTCGTCTGAGCTGGAGCCGACAGCGTTCTCGGCTTGACCTGATTCTTGTTGGCTTGATGCTCCAGACATGGTGTTATCATCACCTGATGTCTGTTGCTTACCCTGGTAGTCTGACTCAGTCTCGCTGAACTCTGAACGAGCCTTCTTGACTGTTCGCCTCTTGGAAGCGGCGGACATGTCGAAGTCGCTAGTAGCAGGGGTCATGGGCAGGCCGTGAACAAGCTCCTCCTCAAAGTCTGTGAAGCTCTCGTCGCTCAGGAAGTCCTCCTCAGGAGAGAAAGCGCCAAGGTCAGTGCGTTGGCGCTTGTTACCGAGAAAGTGGGTGTTGTCAGTAGAGAAGTTGACAAGGCCGGTGAAGTCGTCTTCGCAGTCAAGCTCGAACAAGGGCTCAAAGGTGGGGAGACCAGTGATGTTGAAGGACTGGGTAGACTCGAAGCTGTCGACCTGGGCAGTCTCACCCTTGAGGACAACCTTGTGCTCCTCGTCGCCAGGGCAGAGTGTGACAATGGGAAGCTCAGAAGTAGAGACGGTGAGATCGCGGGGGTTGCAGAAGTTGTTCTCGGCCTCAGCGAATGCAGCGCGGGGTACTGGCGATGGTGATGGGGAGAGCGAGGGGCATGAAGTTGCAGATAGAAGGTAGGAGCCTTGGCTAGCCGACGGAGGCTGGATGTAAACTTGAAGGAGTTAGTCACACCGTCCGAACATTCAGCAACATCGACTGCGAAGGACATGAGCAGATTGATTAATCAAAGAATACATACCTGGAGTCATGGGTGGGGAAGCTGAACGCCATTCGAGACCGGCAGAAAGGAGCTCAGAGAAGACCTCGCCTTCGCAGCCTTGCTTGACACCCTCGATGCCCTCACCCGAGAACATGTCATGCATCGGTGTAGGAAGAACATCGCATGAGGAAGGAGGGCTGCTGGTGTTGCTACCGCACGATGAAAGGGGAGGTGTGGCGGGCGAGAATGAGTAGTCGGTGTCAATGGGGTGAAGGTATGGCGAGTCTTGAGGTTGGATCAAGATCGTTGGCTTCTGGTAC